TTTGAATGCAAGTGCCGACTTAGAAAGAATTGGCAAAGTATAAATTTTGTTTGTACGGCAAAGAAAATTTGGCAAAGTTATTTGAGCACTTGCATACTGTTGGTCAGCGATCTATCGTTGTACTGAAAACCAAAAACCTGTACACGTAGACACGTGCAATTGACAGGGAAAATTTGCCGTATGAAAAGTTGTCATAGAAAACTTGCTCATCTGTGACCGACTTAATCCTGACGTGAAATAAGGCTTAATCCTGAAGTACATTGTCTGATACTAATTTTGCATGAAAATTCTAAGGGATTTAATGTCTGGAGGGGTATCTGCAATAGTGGAATGATTATTGAAAGGTCACCCGAGGTGTTCAGCCTTATGTTCTTCTGTGCATCACATGTTGAAACGTTTGTGCATAATCTATTAAAACATGCCGACATTTCCTTCGGGTAAAATATAATTGCAATTTGGATTAATTATAAAGATTGGATATTTTTATGCCGCCTAACCGGCGTGCTTGCACGGCAAACCTCTCAGCTCCGTGGAAACTTCCCGTACTTTTAACGAACTTATTATTTTTTATATAGAAAATGAACCAATTAGCGTTCTAGAAGGCTCATGCTTCTATCATTTACAATAAACTGCATGTTCTTCCTAGAGGTGCAGTGAAGGTCATTCCTTTGCCAGTGCTCCAGTGTTACTACAGGAGAAAACCTTTATTTAACTAATAGTTCTGTCAGTTCTAAACTGTTCCTTTTTACTCTGAAATGTCCAGTAAGCACCACCCTTGTTCAGATCTTGTAGTATTTGCAAGGGTGGGTTGACTACAAAATTTTTGTAGTTCGCTATAACTACAGCTACTTCAGAAATATGTAGTCAGCTACAACTACTGCTACTTTTGAACAAAGGTAGTTCGCTACTGACTACAGCTACTGCTTAAAAAATGTAGCGAACTATTTCGCTATTTCGCTACTCTATATTTTTTAGTGAAACGGTATTTGGAGCAGCCACTAGCTCAGGCTGTAATATAACGTATAACAAATCGACTTACGAGTAGCAACAGTAAACAAAAAGGGTCAATTAAAGCACATTTTTGTAAGCACTACAGTGTTCAGGAGTGCCACTTTTCATTGCGCTAAAATAATCTTTGCTGTATAAAATAATCTATGAACGGTTGCTAACAATTTTAAAAAGTAGCGAATAGCGATTCGCTGTTTGAAAAGTATAGTCAACTATTTGGCTACTTTTAGGCAAAATGTAGTTCGCTATAACTACAACTACTGTTTTAAAAAAGTAGTCAAAAACTACTGGCTACTTGAAAATTGTAGTTCGCTACAGTAGCGAACTACAGCTACTTCGCTTCTACCCACCCTTGAGTATTTGATAGAAAAGATCTAATGTATGCTCAATTTATTATAACTAGAAAGCTCTATCAGTTCTAGAATGCTCTTCCTATAGAGGTCCAGTAAGCGCCATCCGCTGTCCCTGTATTGCTCCTAGGCTAAACTAACTTCAGTATTAATCACGGCGAGAACTCGAAACTAACTTTATTTATACTGAATATATATATATAGCTCTTAGTTCTAGGCTGGTCTCTCCATAGATAAGTCTTCCTTATTGAATCAATATTGATCCAGTGTTACTACATGAGCTATAGGGAACCTGGATTGAACTAACTCAGAGCGCCACGCCGGAATCGCAGGTCCATGCAGAAAGGTCCATGCCAGGCATCTCTTAGTATTGGTCCAGTCCACTGGTCCAGTCATACTGAGAAAGAAATTAACTATAAATCTTGATTTAGACTAGATAGTTCAATCAGTTCTAAACCGTTCTTCTAGAGGTCCAGTAAAAGTGGTAGAAAAGGCTGCCTACATGAGCAAAAAAGTCACCCGGAGGAAACCAGAGTTGTTAGGCGATATTAAAACCCGACAACAGCATACTGTAAAGATCAAACCTCCGTGGCGTGTCCAGGATTTTTTTTTGGAGGGGGAAAGCAACTTAATAATATGTGATTCACGATCGAGGGCATGTTCCCCTGGGGGAAAATGAGTTTTGGGTCTCTGAAACGGCGTTTCCTGCATTACGGAGGCACTTTGAGAAAAATGTAAAGATCTTATATAGTAAATCTCTTTTTAACTGTGTCAAATACTTGACAATTTAATACAATTGGAAACATAGTCGTTTCCTGCATTACGGATCGAGGTACTTTGAGAAAAATGTAAAGATCTTAGTAAATCTCTTTTTAACTGTGTCAAATACTTGACAATTTAATTCAACTGGAAACATAATCGGTCACATATAGCTTTATATTAGAACAACGTTCAGTAGATACCCTCTGAAAAACGTCGGGGGGCGAAAGGCATATTAACTACTATGCCACCAATATCGCAATCAAAGTTCAAGGCACATATCTACACTTGAGTGAACTTATGAGTTATGAGAACATCTTATGTGTTAAGTGTGAATAAGGTTTAAGCTGTTAGGAAGTAAAGCAGTTGATGATATCTGTGATGATTTCTTTCACCGAGCTCATTTTCAGACCGTCAAAAATTTAATTAAATTGCTAATTTCGCGTGACTGTGCAGCAGTGTTTCGTGATGTTTTAAATTACATGAAGTATTCCTGCTGTTATCACATCACGCGAACTTAATTCGACACTGTGGCCTGCAGGGTACTTGTGGCCCGTGTTTTTCAGCGATAGTCTGTTATTCCGGAACATATTTTCGTGCCAATGTGACAATCTGCCGCTTAAGGGGCGATTAATTACGCTTTTGACTCAAGTGATTAGCTAGTGAGACTTTCCCATCTACGGTATGAACGAATTAAATTACTCAACCCATATGCATCATCAATCGATTTACCTCGGTACTCAAATTTCCTCATTGAAGAATGGCCCTTACTAGACCTCCAGAGAGAGAACAGTTCAATAGGACACAACTGCAAGTTATAGATAGTTATCGAGCATAAATAAAGTTTTGATTTGTTTAGTTTAGTTTAGTTCAGTTTAGACTTTAGTTTAGTTTCAGTTTAAGCCCCGCCGTACAGACGGGCAAATTTTCCTTTACAACTACAAGTTTCCTTGATAAGTTCACTTTCTCGTGTGTTATGTAGGTTCAACAAGTCTTCCTTAACAAGTTTCCCTTGCAATTGCAGACGAGTTTAGTTTTTAGTTTCGGGCAGCCTTAAAAAAATCGATTTCAAGTCACTTTTCAACTCGCGGGTTCCAAGTTCGTTGCAAACTTGCCAATTACGTTTCCATGCCAAGTTTGAAAATTGGGCGCGAACTTCGCAACAATGCCAACAAAGTTCGCAAGTACATTTCAATGTTTGAACTTCGTTTGTAAACAAATGTTCGTACTCAATAATAATAACCAATTCAATGAAATGCGAACCTTGGTAGACCACTGGACCAAGAACTTTCCTTTGAATTGTTAATTTCAACTATGAACATTCAGTTTACAATAGTTCAAACATTGAAATGTACTTGCGAACTTTGTTGTGAAGTTCGTGCCCAATTTTCGAAAATTTTGGAAACGTAATTAATTGGCAAGTTTGCAACGAACTAATTGAGACCCGCGCGTTGAAAAGTGAGACTTGAAATCGACAATAATTCGGACATATCACCGCGAATTGAAAATAGATAAGTCTAAAGTTTGTTCGTTCACTGCAACTAGATAAGTCTGTTGTCGATAGATATTTTCAGTCGGTGATACAACCGTACGTTGCCACCAGCGATGTTCGGCAAACAATCACATGCAATCTTGAAAAATATTTTGTTCGAATCGAAAGCCTTACGTCTTTTATATGTGATCATTTGATCACAAAATCTATATGTAACAACTATAAATGAAGTTGGCTAAAAACGTATTAGAAAAATCCTTTAACTATCGGTAAGAATGTGTAGGTATACTACTTTTTCTCCTTGTTGAATTTGTTCATAGTTTATGTTATTATAACAATAATAAAAATAATATTCGAAGCTTGTGCTTGTAACCCCAGGAAAATTTAAGTATATACTGTAAGATAAATATGACTTTCTAGAAAAAAATTTCAACTTATTAAAAAATGTTTATTACTTTTTTTTCCGCATAGATGTTGGCCCGATAGTTTAAAGTCAAAGTTGTTCAAGGTCATTATTCAAGGTGTGATGCTGCTGAACTTCATGTCTCGAAATATGACAGGTATTGCATGCCCAGTGATCACAATGAAAACCTGTTGTGGGGGAAATGTAGTTAGAGTTGTCCTATAGAAGCTTTTCAGGATAGGGGGGTTGTGCAGTGGGGATCATTAAGAGAGGGGGTTAATCCCCTAGATATTTGAAAATATGTTTGAACACATCCAAACTTATGAGATTGTAAAGTTTGACTCCACCAAACACTGCAGGCTTCTCCAGGCATCTCGGTTTTCTATTGAGCTATTGTAACAATTGACTTTTACTGGGAACTCTATGAATAACAGCTTGAAACGGATGGAACTACCCATAGTTTAGTTTAGTTTTAGTCCTAGCGTTTCACTATGATTCGACGCAGGCATATAGGGTATAAATGCAAAGTATCAGCTGATTCAGCCAATGCGGATTATTGTCAAAATTTTTGGCACAGAATTAACTTCCTATTCTTTCATTTTCAGCTGACCAAATGAACTTTTCTCGTTGGATGGAGAATTTGCCACCATGCTTGCACAACATACCGCTGACCGATCTTGCAATTCCTGGATCGCATGACTCATGTAGTTACTCACTGAGCCCACGATCATCTTATTCCATTGGGCTAGACCCTAAGGTACGTGGATATAGGGAAATTATAGGCATGGTTGGAGAACACGAATGTAAGGACAGCGGCAAAATAAACTTTTTTAAACCTTATAGTTTGTTCACCTCTGAACTGTTAACTGTTAATTGGTAACAAAACATTTAGTGACTTCATTTTAGTATACTGGATACCTCTATGCCGTTCGATCTATCTGTTCTTCCTAGGGATCCAGTAAAAGCCATCCCTATAATTAGGGGTAAGGCCAAAAAAAAAATATGTGGGTTTCCGGTTTCCCGACCCTACCTAGCTTTTGGACGTCAAAATCCCGACCCTAAACTTTTTTATTGGATCATGCTTGTAAGTGTTTCCACTTAGAGGAAAAAGTTTGTGGAAAATTGAAATTTGAGGCAATATTAGGGAAATTTATCTTTGGATGTTGAAGCACTGACTAAACAAAATGGCGTCCGCTTGTTCGGAAAATTAAAAAAAAAAATTAAAAAAAAAAGTTAAAACCGACCTACCCTACCTAAGTTTTTATAAGAAGAAACCGGAAACCCACATATTTTTTTTTTCCTAAATATCAAGATTTTGTTGGCATCACACTCGATTGAATAATACACACGTGAAAACGCACAAGTTGTAACAAGTCTGCAAACAAGTTGTTACACGTCTGTTCACAAGCTGTCAACAAGTTGTGTTCGCACTGCTTGTTCCCAGTTTGTTGTAACAAGTTTGAAACAAGCTGTTAACAACTGTAACAAGCCAGCTTGATGGCATTATCAGCCTTGTTACAAGATTGTGCTAACAAGTTTGTTACAGCCATGATATAACAAGGATGTTACAAGGTTGTCAACACAAGATTGCAACAATCTTGTTATATCAAGCATGTCACAGACTTGTCAGAACAACCTTGCAACAAGTCTGATAATTTCGACAAGGTTGTTACAAGTTGTCAACAAGTTGTTCCAAACCTGTTGACAACTTGTGACAAGCAGTGCGAATACATCTTGTTAACAGCTTGTGAACAGACTTGTAACAAACTTGTGCGTTTTTACGTGTGTAGTTGAAGAGTCTTCTGGATGGAAATTATCGAGTGGAAATTTATATACATTTATTAGACCTATTTCTATCTACGAGACTCATCCCTAATTAATCCAGTCACTACAGAATGAAACTGGAGTACCCAGAGCAAACCGGCGGTATTTGGCCAATCATGAAGGAGGATTTTCACATGCGAATATGCTAAATCACTCACAATCAGATGATTAACAGGGGCCCGTGTAACATATACTTTTAATTCTCATTAATTTATGAGCAAAACACAAAGGAAATCATGCACGCGAAGAAGCCAAATAACAAATAAGGTTATTGAAGTATACGAATACTTTCATCAAGACAACCAGGTGATCTTGATACGCGGAAAAGTACTGGCACTAGTTGTCAAATAGAAATCCATTTTATGATTAAAACAACTGAATATCTCCTGTAATATACTTTATTTCGATTCCATATTTTTGTCAGAGCTATAGTTCTCATAACCAAACATAATTACAAAATTTCAACTAGTTTCATAAAGAATAACGAAAGATATAATTGACTGAATACATCAAAATGGATTTCTATTCGGACAACCCTTTCTGAGCGCTAAAATACGAACACGAGATCACCTGGTAACAGGAGCCCGTGTAACATATACTTTTAATTCTCATTAATTTATGAGCAAAATACAAAGGAAATCATGCACGCGAAGAAGCCAAATAACAAATAAGGTTATTGAAGTATACGAATACTTTCATCAAGACAAATTAGACAATGGATGCTATTTTCTTCTGATGATGGATGTGAATGAGTTATGATAAGGGTGCATATACTCAGAACGTTTATAACTCATCTACTCGCTCGTTTACATCCATCAGAAGAAAATCGCACTAGAAATCGCAGTAAAAATTGTGGTGCATGGAAATGGCAGTTAAATTTTTAGTCATATAGAGGCTGTTGATATGGAGTTGGGCTTGCATGATTCGTTTAATAAAGCTCTTGTCACGGCTTTGATGAACATCCAAAATGCCAATTGAATTAGTTTAGTTTGATTGTCAGTAGTAACAGACAGTAGAAAGTTCATTCAAACGATCTTTTATGGTTAGGACAAATTTTCGAGACACAAATCATCCCGTCTAGCCGGGCTGGCCAGGTCAAAGTCAAGACCATATGACCACCCCCTTAGTGTTATCTCATATAATAACCACGCGCTTTTGGCTCGTTTTTGAAGACAATACTTGTATTAGCCATTTCCCAATCGAGTAGAGGACTGGGTCTAGTCGCTTGTTTGGAGGGACAAAAAATAGACAATATGCCGAATATGGCATCTAGGAAGTTTTCCTACATTCCTAAAGTTATTTGTGCAGCCTGAAACGCAACAATTATAATAAGGCATCTTTTAATATATATTTAGCTCGCTCACTATAACTTGTTGTCCCTCTAAACGTCCCTCCAAACATCAACTAGACCCAGTCCTCAGCTCGATTGGAAAATGACTAATTACATATATTACATCAATGTATTTTCAGCGATTTAAATTTCCTGTAATCATATTCCCTTCTCAAGGTAAAGGAAATAATTAGCTCAATGGACACAGCTACAGGTAAAGAACTTGTGTACCGCTGGTCAGTCACACAAGCTCAGACTATACGAGAACAATTACAGAGCGGTATCCGATACTTGGATATAAGGATATCATATAATGATTCTCAAGGCGAAATGTAAGTAAAACTCAATCAGATTAATCTTAGGATAACCAGTGAGCTCACTATATATCTGGAGTGAGCATTCGGGTGAAAATGGCGGAAATTCGGGGCTTTCTTTGGATTTTTTGAAGAAATCCTGTGATCAACTGATTCGAAGTGTGGCACACGTTAATATTTGATGACACAAACCATCCTCGTCCCCAGGGCCTCTCGGCGGCGTGCGGCGTGAAAATGGTTCTGGGGACGACGTCCCATATTGTTTTGCTAAGGGACTGTTCATTATTTATATACGGGGTTGGTACGGAAGAGATATGGGTTGGGTAATCACGTTTTTTACCATGCATTAGAAAATATGAAGAAAAATGTGTACAATACATTCTGTACCAAAATAGACCATCAGTGATTGAGGAAGGAATCTATCATTGATCAGCAGGAACGTGATTGCTTTGACACACTCAGTGAGTTTGAGTGTGCTTTTAGAATTTAGGCAACTTGATTTCTGTCACGATAATCTTATGTGCTTAATTATTATCACGTACAGTAGTAACACATGGGTTTGGTAAACATTATTTTGACCAATGTTAAGGTTGGGTAAATAAAAAAATTTACACTGTTTTTCGCTTCTCTTCGGTACCAACCTCAGGTATAAATACTGAACGGTCCCTAAAGAGTAATATTAATTTTGTTTTTTTATTCTACAAGTCTACAATTATTATAAAATGATTGTAGATAGTGAGAAAACTTTGATCATGTACATGTCGGTTTGATCATAACCGCGCCCCGTCCCAACAAGTGCAGTATTCATCAAATTTAGGATATCCTCACTTATTTCAGATCATAGTCAATAAAATAAGAAGGTTAAGCTTAACGTTAAAAGTATATTTACAGGCAATGTTTAATACGAGCAATTTAGAAGAATCAACAATTACTATAAGTAATTTACATTCCTTCTCAGAACAATGAAAATCGAGGTGATTACTTCGGTTAAAACTTTCCATCCCATAAACAATAGGAGCTATTTTTAAAGCGTTCAGTTCGATATCTAAAATTATACAGTTTTTCTCCATTTGATCTAGTTTGTTTCTGTCTTATTTGATTAACTGTTTTGGCAATAAACTATATAATCTATGTCTGGGGTCTACGGTCTACCTGACGATGAACCGAAACGTGAAGCTTAAACTCCCTAATGAGGCCTATTATATCTGCATCGAATTCCCTAACCTTATTCTATTGACTATGTGTGGAGGTCCCCCAACTTCCTTGACCAACCTGTTTCACTGGGTTTCAACACGCCCCCCCAAAAAAAACACCTGCTTACGTAGAAAGGAGTGGGCGTGGGTGAGGCACTGGGAACGCGGTTGCCTTCCTGCCTTGATAAAGCATCTGATACTTAGAAACACTTTCTTTGCCAGTTACGTTTCTCACGGTCTACTCGGAACAAAACTGGACGACATCCTAATGCAAGTCAAGGACTTTCTCAAGGAATTTACAAAAGAAGTTATCTTATTAGACTTTAATCACATCTACAACCCTTCCAGAGACAGACCTACCGTACTAACTATACTTTTCTCGAAGATGAAACACTACTTAGGTGCGCAGTTGTGTCCGAGGACAGAACTTAATCGAATAACTTTACAATACCTATGGCGGATAAAGAAACAAGTTTTATTTTTCTTTGATCGTTCAAAGAGGGAACAACAACCAAAGTTTGCGTGGAGTAGTGAAGCAAATATATTAGCTCCATTTGACATCCAAACTTTCAAAGATCCCGAAAAATGGATTGAATTTTTGACAGTGCAATACAGGTCTAAACGTCCACAAAATATGTTTTATATAACACAGGGCGTTCTATTGCCACATTGGATAGAAGTCTTAGCCGGACAAACTGTTAATGCCACCTTAAAGGCTTGGATATCGCAAACAGCATCTTCACGTTTAGTCGAATGGATGAAAACACGAAAAGGGGGACCTAATGGGATAAATATTGTCATTGCAGATTACATAGAGGAGGACGACTTTGTACCCACTGTATTGCATTTAAATGGCAGCGGTAGAACTGCTTTGCATATGCGCGTTTACGTTATATTGCTAGTTTTGTACGTTCTAGTGTACGTTCTAAGATTTTAGATTTTGGGAGTGTTTCTAAATTTTCAGGGTGTGTACAGTACATAGCACTCCAATTACCCGGCTCTAATTCAGTTATGCTTGGCAACAATAGACCATGCCCGTGGTTGTTCCATGCTTTACAACCAATTACAAGGCGAGAACACGCTCATATTTCGCACTGACATTAAAATCAGTTATTTTATTTAGAGGCATTTGAAACCATTTTAATACCATACGGTCCTCATTACTTATATCCATCTAACATAAAAACATCACTTTTCCAATTTCAACAAAATAGATTTTAAAACTTTCTTACAAAGCAACACTATTTTATGAACCTACAAGGTTTTACATAAATAATGAAGCCGCGTTCGTTTTATTTTGCCGTGTTTTTTTTTATATATTAGCCATTCCGAAGTTGATGAGTGGACTGGGGACGAGTGTTAAAAAGCGTCCAAATTAAGAAATGAACCAAATTACTAAAAAGACCACCTCAAAATTAGTAAGTATACAAAGTTTGAGGACGTTTACATGAATATCCTTCGAATAATAAGCTTTCGAAATTAATCGTGATATTTACTATGAAATGTATTGTATTATTCGAAGAGTATTCATGTGAACGTTTTCAAACTTTGCATACTTACTAATTTTGAGGTGGTCTTTTTAGTTATTTGGTTCATTTCTTAATTTGGGCACTTTTTAACACTCGTCTCCAGTCCTCTCATCAACTTCGGAATGGCTAATTGGGCGCGATAACACGACCAACACGACCTTTTAGCTAATACCTTGATGAGACATATATTAGGTAAGGAGATAATTGACCACTTTACATGCCCGTTTCAGACCATGTGATGTTCTTCTTTTTTCATCGCTTTGTCTTTATGCATTTTCGCTTTTATATTGAAATATTGATAATATACATGAAAACATTTCTCAATTCTATAAGAGCAGTGCAATTTTTTCGAAATACAGTGCCAAAAAATAAAATACAGTGCAAAAAAATAAAATACAGTGCCAAAAAATAAAATACAGTGCAAAAAAAGAAATACAATGCAAAATTCATCGACTATTTAGGCTTTCTGATTGGCTTAAAATATCAAAGAATAACAAAGATAGCCAATAAGATGCAGCAATTTCTAGCATAAATAATAATAAAAAAATATTTAGGAGTTACAAAAATGGTAGATTAGTAATTTTTGGCAACAGAAAGTTACTACAGGGGCTCGAAAACAATTCAAAAAGTGAAAATACTACTAAAATTAAATTATATTCGTTTTTCGTGTATATTATTTAACAAATATAAAACATTTTCCGTGTTGATATACAGTTATATCAACACGAGTGGAAATTGGGAAAACGAGAAGTTGTGTGGAAACACGACGCCCGAAGGGCGGAGTGTTTTCACGCAATTTCGAGTTTTCCCAACTTCCACGAGTGTTGATATAACTATATATCAATACGGAAAAAATGTTTTATATTTGTTTTATAATATAGCAATGTCAAAAGCCCGAAGAATAAGAAAAATTTCCGTGTTTACAAGCGGCGGAAAATTTCCCGTGTTGACATGGAGTTATATCAACACGGCTCTTAGCCAATCAGCGTTCAGAATTTACAAATGCTATATTATAATAATAAGTAATAGTATGGTTTCTCGTGCAATTTGAAAAAAACATACACGAGTGAGTCTTTCAAGACTTCAAATTGCACTCCAGCGTCCTTCGGGCTCGTGCAATTTTGATAGTGATGAAGCTTGTGATGTTACTCTGAGTGTATATCCACACTGGGCAAGCTTGAAAAATATGCCTGACAACGGTGGGAATCGAACCTACGACCTTTGGAATACTAGCCCAATGCTCTGCCAACTGAGCTACGCGGTCTGGTCGGTTCGAGTATGTGATATTTCGGAACAGAATCTAGTTCCTTCGATATCAATGTAATCTAATAATCATGATTTTTTTTCTGTGTTGGTGTAGTGCACTCAGGTGAATACACCAACACAGAAAAAAAAATCATGATTATTAGATTACATTGATATCGAAGGAACTAGATTCTGTTCCGAAATATCACATACTCGAACCGACCAGACCGCGTAGCTGAGTAGCTCAGTTGGCAGAGCATTCGGCTAGTATTCCAAAGGTCGTAGGTTCGATTCCCATTTCAAGCTTGCCCGGTGTGGATATACACTCAGAGTAACATCACAAGCATCATATTCACCTGAGTACACTACACCAACACAGAAAAAAAATGTTGATAGTCTTTGAAAAACTCACTCGTGCACGTTTTTTCAAATTGCACTCGAAACCATGCTATTTGTCTATTACCTATACAAAATGTATAAGACATGTGGCAAGATTGGCAAGAACGATAAGATTAAAACATATTAAGCAAATTGGCCACATTTCTGAAGTTCACCCATATTTGCAGCTCTGTAAATTAAACTTATATACTAAACCCCACAATACAGAAAGGGATAATAGGATTGGACCTACAATCACGTGCAAAAATAATGAGACTTTACGTATTTCAAACATTTTTTTTTTCATTTTGACACATCTACACTCATATAATTCGATCTTTTCTTACTATTTTCCCCCTCCCCCCATTGACAATATTGGGTGAATGTTTTCAGCCAACACTGTGGTTTGGTATCATGGAAACAACATTGTTTTTGGGGGAAGTGGGGGGCAAATAGGATGTCTCAATAATTTTTGCTCCTGATTGTAGGCCCATGGCCGCCGAGAGCGGGGGGGGGGGGCAGGGGGCACTTTGCCCCGCCTTTCAAATCAAGGAATGCCCTTACAATTTTGTGATAGAAGATTGCGTGTTAGAATGCAATAAATTGAGTAAAACGCGCAACCTTTCGGCGGCTCTGCCTAGGACTATCCTTGTCATCACTGCTGTGCTAACAAAAACAAGGAAACACAATATTAAAATCTAAAGTCTATTTTTATTGAGCAAGTGTGAACTAGTAATCCGTATAGTTTACGCTTGTACTTACAGTATGCAAGAAAAGAGCGCTGGCATTAAAAATGTTTATAGACTATGATTACATGTAGTTATATTGCTTTAATGGAAAACCACATTAAAAAAATCCTAATTCACAGTAAGAAATATGGGCTATTCAAAGCATAACTAAAAAAATATTTTTGACAAATAGGATTAAAAGCAAAAGTTTATAACAGCAACAACGTTTTCAAATCTAATGTCTTCCACTGCATCTAAACCAAAATTACGAATGCAAAAATGGCGATAATTTGCAGAGCAAAAGAGACGAGATTGGACGATGCGGCACTTATATCTTCATGACTTCTCAAAGCATTGTAATGGTCACCGTAAGCTCCCACATACTTCTTGACAGTGTCAGTGTAGGCCTCCAAATTTTGGCAGTTGCTACTGACAATACTCCCTTTCTTCAAGTTGGCGAGAACAGCTTTATCCAAGATGTCTTTCATTTTCGTCACCTTCTCATCAGGCGTGTCTTTGTTTGTAACCAAAGCATACGCAGGTCGCTTATCAATGTTACAGGTGCGATAGGCACTAAGATCTGGAGAAAAAGAAAAGTGGAATTTTCAAGTCCTAATTGGCAAACAGGGAAGCATGCACGATGTTTTCTCAAATGCTTTTCCGTTTGTAAACCTTTAAAGCCTGGTTTTCATAAATCGCAATTCATCAGTGAAGTTCTCATGGTTCACATGTTGGTGATCAGAAAATCCTTCCCGGTTGGACAAAGAATTTTGGCTCTATAAAATAAATGCAATGTATCCTGCTGGGCAACCGAAGTGACAAATTAGCGTAGCGGCTACGTACATAAAAAAAAAATGTGTTAAAATAAAAAATGTGAAAGAGAAGAAAAATACACATAAACATACAGGAAACAGAATATGCTGTTGAAACCGTTAAGTATAGGTTATTTTAATTTTAAACTCGTTGAAACTATAGAGTTTTTGTCAGGAAATACAATTGTATGAATGTTGTTGATTTTTGTTTCGTCGCTATACGGGGTATATCAGAAAAAAGTAGACAATTTTGAAACGGCACTTAATTTCACAAATACGTTCATGACTTCATGGATTTTTTTATAAATATAGATTCATTGTTTAGGTACTTTTCAAAAACTCATTAATAATTCATGAAGCAATTATCCAATCTTGAGTAAGAAATTAGTCACGTGCATACGTCTTTATACCAGCTAAAGAACACTTTGACAAAAGACCATTGTTATGCAAACTATATAAAGATTTTTATATAAAGATTTTTATATAAAGGTTTTTATATTTAAAATTTTTATATAAAGATTTGACTTATTATGCATACGTTTTTGAAGTCATTTAAAAAACTCGCGGGTCGTGTTTTATTAGGTCTAAAGCCACTCGCGCTGCGCGCTCGTGGCTTTAAACCTAATAAAACACTCCTGCTCGTTTTTTAAATAGTACATAATGTAGAATAAACAAAAGCAGGGGGTGTTTTTTAGCAGCATTGAAAATAGCTTGTGCGCGAAATTTAAAACGCGTTGATTTTGAGTTCATGGGCGAGAAGTTTGTTATGCGTTTTATTAATGGTCCAAATATCAGAAAATTTGTAAAAAAAAGTAAAATAACGAGATGCAAATTAGGTAAATGCATGCATTAAGGATGCGTGAAAAGCATTGGTGCCAAAAAATGAAAGTTTCAGCAACTATTTAAAGGAATTAAAATTGAGAAAACTTTCTGATATTTGGACCATTAATAAAACACATAACAAACTTCTCGCCCATGAACTCAAAAATGCGCTTTAAGCTTTTAAATTTCGTGTGCAAGCTATTTTTAATGCCACTAAAAAGACCCCCCCAAACAATCTATATTTATAAAAAATTCATGACATGAACGGATTTGTGAAATTGAGAGCCGTTGCAAAATTTTCAGCTAAGCCACTGATCTATATAAAATAGGCACACTGTAGTAAGAGAAATACTGAGAGAAACCAATTTTTGAAATAAAATTTGGAGGTCACTGATGTCGTTTACGAGTTAAATTAATTTAAAGCCAAAACATCCCCGCCATCTTGAAAGTCATTGCTGCCATAGCAAATGTTGTTTTATATCAATAAGATGGTTTTTGGTTTTCAACAAGTAATAATCGGCAAAAAATACGGATCTAATATGTTAAAAAATGCCCTGCAACTCAAGGCTCGTTTGTTTTCATTCTGCGTATAAAATGGAACAATGCAGTAACAACATTTTTTGACAACTTGTTCTGAGGGTGCAGCACAACCTTGTTCAAACCTGACGATATCAATTAACTGGGAACAGGTTGTTCGTTTTTAGGCTAGATCACATATAAATTTCGTTTACTTTTTAAATTTCCAAACATATTTTGAAAGTTCGGGTCCGCTTGACTCTGATATATGACAAACCTGCTTTTGTTCCATCTGTACACAACAGTTGATAGTCGCTTGCATCGCCATAGTTTCCACCAGCAGCTGCAAATACCTCATCGGCTGTAGTCTGTTTCACAAACCCAACTCGGTCTTTAATTCCATCGGCCATACATTTGAACGCTCCCTGGTAATCATAGTATGGTTCGGTGCTGTTAACAGCGCATGTTCCATTACACAGTTTGCACAGATCTTTCTTCACTGCATCAGTTACATCTTTATCATTAATGCCTGTAAAAGATGTGGCCTACCACTATTAGGCCTCTCTGTCTTACAAACCTCCCACCAAAAAAGCCTTCCTGACCTATAACAAGCCGCCCCCTCATTTTACACTGTAGAGTATAGGGCAAAAAGTTTATCGAATCCCCCCCCCTCCCGAAACACAAGCTCACTACAGTTTTGCTATTAATAACATTGGTAAATTTTACTGCTTGACGTATATCAAATGCTCAAGGAAAACTTTTATTCCCTTTCTAAAGTCAATATTTAAGGGTTTTTCCATCTGGTATGTACGGAAAAAAATCTCGAAAATTGTACCCTCCCTCCCCCTTGTACGCTAAGAACAATAGAAATACGTTGTTTGAACAAAAGGAGCACGCAAAAACTGCCAATTTTAGCAGCGGCTTACTGTACTTGCAGTAGTAGCCTGCACGGCTTATTTTAGGCGCGGACAAATTGACAGGTTTAACCAGCGTTTACGATTTTTTGAAACGCGGCCTGTTTGCAGGGACGTCGCGAAGTCATCAACATATCAACATTGGGGGAGGTGTCGTCATGTTTTGACCAACTTTTCCGAGGATTTTGACCAAGTCGTAAAAATTTTCCCCGGAAGGATTTTTACCTTCAATTTTAAGCAAATATCAGTTCCATTTTGACCAACTTTGACCAACGTTTGAATTATTGGGGGTGTTACACCCCTCCCCCCACCACCACCCCTATAGCGACGTCCCTGCCTGTTTGGCCCTATTGTGTCCTGTGCGCTCAAAAAATGTTTAGCTCCGTCATTGAACGTACCTGGGGCACAACTGTCGCCAAAGTAGTCAGAAGCAGACCTGTATTCGTTCTTGGTAAATGTCATTTTCTTCGTGAAGAGAAGATAGCCTACGGGAATGTTCCATCCGACAGTTTTTCCCACCGTAGTATGACACGTGTTTTTACCCTTCAGTGTATTCAAAGTGAAATTCGTTCCTTTCTTAACGATAGCTAGGCCGTAGTACTGCACGAACTTGTCGAGGGTTTTCAGCTTCTGGCCATAGACTATCTTCAGTTCTTTTGCTATACAAAAAAATGACAATTTTTCTTCTAGTAAAACTTGCACGTTTCCCATAATGTTTTGATTTAAATTATTATTAAATGATGATTGTAAAAACAACAACAACATTTAGGGATATATTTCATAAAGTTTTTTTTAAGGTTTTAAGGTGGCTCGAATCGCTCGATACAGTTTTCAAAAAGCTTAGGTAAAATAGAATCAAACAAGAATCACCTTAATAAGTTCTTTGTATGTTTATATGGCGATAAAACATATAATATTTTTGTTTGTGGAAACACCACGTAAATTTATTAAGAATTAATAAATAAATTAACTATTTTTTTAAGAATCACCTTCTTACATGCAACACAAATGCAAATTATTATTAGAAATGGTACTCTGGTATGCCATTCCCTCAATATAGACAACTACACAATACACCAATCACTACGCCATGCACCAACATTTCATAAAATACATTTTTAGTTTAAAGAAGGAGACTAACCATATATCACCATCTCGTTAGCACTAGCCAACATTAAATCAGCCTTTCCATCAGCAACGTCTTTGGCGCAACCATCTTTCTCATTCCTTGCTTTAACACATGTAACATTTATACCTGCTAACGTGCATTCCGTAATATTGTTACTGCAGAACTTGACTAGAAGTAGACAAGAAATACAGGTTATTAACATTTTTGTTGAAAAGATTTCTAGATGGAAATTTCTAGTGGATTTTTATAGAAGAAGAAATTTAATTGAGCACTATTTGATTATAAATACATGAATAATTATATTAGGGTACATAAACATATAGGTGTAGTACTGGTCACCTGTAATAACCATTGGGGCTAATCGAGACAAGCGGTTGACAAGCGGCCATTAAAAGCAAAGATTATACATTTACGAACAATTGGGGAATTTTTACAAAACAATTTTTATTTTAATTAGCTCAAACACACAGACAAAACTGATATAAAAACACACACAATACGAACAAAAACAGAGACTCAAAAGAGATTTAAATGGCAGAATATTTTAATAGCGAAACTGCCATTAATCCTCATATTCATTAATTATTTTTCGTTTTAGTTCATTTTTAAAAGACAATCTACTAAGTTGCTTCAGTAGTTCGTCGACTAAATTCCACGTTTTAGGACCAATAAATCCAATATTAAATTTCCCGTAATTGGTTCTAACTTGAGGTATCGATAACGTATTTTTAGTTGCTAGTCGTGTTTCGTAGTTATGTCTAGCACAAACAGAGGAGAAGAAATCGTTAAAATTGTCAGGAAGATTTCCATTTTTATGGTCATACATAAATAATGCAGTGTTGAGGTAGATAATATCAACCAGTTTAAGTAAACTCATTTTCTTAAAAAGGGGGGACGCATGCGCTCCAAAGTCAGAAAACGTAATAATTCGTTAGTAAACACCGCGGAAAAACGTCTGCGCATGCGTCAACCTTACCTGTAATAGTATTGCGAACTTGATGAGAAGCTGTTCCGAACGTTTCCGAAGGCTCAAAATGGCGGTAAAAAGGAGCGACTTCATTGTGCGTCTTTACAGCCAGATTTCGAGCGCAAAAATAAACATGTCATTCTAAAAACTAGGAATAAATACAGCCAGAAGATTCAAGAAATTGTATTGTACAAGAACATGAACTAAAGGTGATTGTTCACAAATTTATCGTGTGAAACATTTTGTTTATCAACTAAGCAACGACAATTTCCGAATTTTCGTTTGAGATACATTTCTTTAAAAAAAACTGTGTCGCCAAATATAAAAAATTTTCGTGTTCACAATAATTAAACTTTAGGATTTATTCTACAATATGAGTGGGTTAAGAAGCTTAACTTTTCGAGAGTTTTCTTAACTTTTGAGTTTGAATTTTTGTTTTGAATAATTTTGCAAAAATTTTCGAAGTCGTGTCCGTTAAAATCAACAATTTTTTACATGAATTATATTTCATTCCATACTTTAAATGCCAGGACGCTTTCAATTAATGTCTAGTCTACCCATTTGCTATATTTTCTCGTTTGTTTTACTAATTTTTGACTAATTAATAAGCATGTTTTTGTTTTAGAAATTGATATTCAAATTCCCCGCCATATTTTCATAATTTGGTGCATGCGCAGACGTTTTTCCGCGGTGTTTTCGTTAGTACAACCTAACCAGGAGCAGTGGCGAAAATGCAACTATCGGCCCTGTGGCAGGAATTGAACCTGCGGCGCTGCGATACTGGTGCTAGCGCTCTAACTAACTGAGCTACAGAGAGACAGTAATAGGCAATTCCAGCTTTTAGTTTATGCGTGCAGGGGACGATGGGAAGTAAGGTATCATAATGCTGATTATTCTGAAAAATTTCAATAAACACTACCGAAACAACCGAAATATTTCAATATTTACAAGTACTTCAATCAACCCTCGAAATTCGCCTCGGCACTCGGCAATTGCCGACGCAAATGCCGAGGCAAGTTACGATTTTTCATAGTTTGCCTCGGCAAAAAAATGCCGAGGCAATTCCACCCGTTGTACCTTAAATTACAAACTACAGCGTCTGTTCGTTTTTTGCTTAAATTGACAAACTACAGTGTTCGTTTTTTGTATCACTTCTTTGTTCGAATTGTTGTCATCGACGTCGGGTGAACAGAAAATTTCATTCATAGCTACTTTACAAAATATTTAAATTTGAGCTTTTCATCGTCGGCTTCGGCTGAAATAAAGAACAACCTTGATGGTTTAAAGACGGCACGTCGAGAAACTTTGTTTTATCTAATAGACTGTCGCGTGATTACCGTCAAGTTTATTCTTTCATACAATTTGTTGTTAATTACCACTAACTTTTTAAAAACATTTTGAAGTCAGGAACTGCCGACGTGAATGCCGAAGGGTGCCGAAGTAATTGCCGAAGGAATTTAAGGTGATTTCATTGCGTGCCTCGGCAATAAAATTGCCGAGGCATGCCGAGGCAAACTCGAAAATTATCAAAAGACTTCGGCAATTATTTGCCGAGGCAAAAATAGTTGAATTTCGAGGGTTGTTTAAGCTATCACTCTCCGTGTTTACACGGCCACCATTTTTATTTTTTCAGCATACAGTAAAACCCCGCATAAAAGAACCAGTGAATTTTGACTTCAGGCTGAGGTGGTACTTATATAACGGGTACTTAGAAAGAAATCAGGCTGAAGTGGTTCTTAACTGGCTCTTATTTCCTGTCAAAAACAATTGTTCCTGGTTTTGAATATAGTTATGCAAGTTGAATTATTGTCCGATTTTAGGGACCGCCTGCCATGCAGGCTAGTTGAATTATGTTGTGAATTGATTGCTGTTTTGATAAAATAAATACATGCATGATGTGGTTGAAAGATATAATTCCTGCTAGCAAGATTACAGTATTTTGTTTTCTTCCTAGTACCTGCTTACTAATTCAGCTAAAAGTTTAATAAGGTTTTTTAAGAACCAGTTTCATCTGTCAGTCTGAAGTGGTTCTTGGGTGCTTATTTGCCCAAATTTCAGGTTGGTGGTTCTTAACCCACTGGTTCTTTTATGCGGGGTTTCACTGTAATCAGCAATGTGATACCTTACTTCCCATCGTCCCCTGTACGCATAAACTAAAAGCTGGAATTGCCTATTGTCGAGCTCTAACCACAAGCTCTAACCACCGTAAAATGCAAAAAGCAATTCTCATGTATAAAGTCACGAACAATTTAACACCTATGTATCTACAAGATTTGTTTGTAACTAGAGTTAGTCACTATAGTCTCAGAGATTCTGAAGGCAAACTGTTTCTCCCTAAACCTAGAACGGATTATCTTTAGCGCTCCTTTAGTTATAGTGGAGCTCGAGGTGGAGCTTCATTATGGAATAGCTTGCCTGAATCTCTGAGATCATCTTTATCACTTTCATCTTTTAAAAGATCTTTAAAAACTAATAATGCTATTTAACTCTTGTCCGACTCCCACACGGCAACCTGGTAGAACAGTAGCCCCTTATTTGTTATATTTTTATATATACTATGTGAATCCAAATATTTTTAAGCTTAGAAAAATTTTGACTATATTTATTATGTAATATTACTGAAGGTTTACCGTGTTTTAAATAAAGGCGATGTATGTATGTGTAAGGTGATGCAAATGTACAGCATGAGCTCCACCTTTGAATTTACTATATGAGTAAATTCTTAAACACGTCCGAATTTATCATTATGATAAATTCGCGGCAAATTTTGAATTTATCATAATAAATTCGCGGCACCTAACACTAACCCCAACCACTAACCCCTAACCCTAACCCCTAACCACTAACCCTCATTTTTCTAACTTTTTAAATTTTTTTAACTTTTTTAAAAATCTAACTTTTTAAACTTTTTTTGCTTTTCAAAACTCTTTTAAAACTTTTTTAAAAAATACGTAGCTTTTACAGCACTGCAGCATGTGTGCGTGCGTGCGTGCGTGCGTGCGTGCGTGCGTGTGTGTGAGAGAGACTAGAGAGCATGATAAACGCATGCTTTGTGTTTTACAGAAGCTTTCCTTTTATGTTTGTTGTGTAAGCTGTCTTTAACTTTCTTGAAAGCAAGTATTAGATGGCATTCTTTTAGCTAGTATTTCAACTTGAAGCTTGTTTCTACCACATCACACGTTGATTTGAATATGAAACGCCGAGTGAAACGCATTATAACCTTGTGCTTTCATTTTGAATCTTCATGTGAAGTTGATGGCAATTTACATTCCAAAAAATTTAATTACAGTCCGAAAAAATGCAAATTGGATCATATAGGTCTGGGAATGAAAGCTAAACCACCTGAGAACATAACACCAACACACATAAAAGTATCATATCTTAGAATACATTGATATCGAAGGAACTAGACTCGAACCGACTTAGGGGCTGATTACATGGACCGAGCCAGCCCGGGCTGAAAAATGTCACGAAAATCTTCCTTGGACCGCAAAATGAGTTTTAAATCGGGTTTAGGATGATTTTGCATATATCTATGCTAAACCAATTATTTATCGCAAATTTATTTTACGCGAGTTTTAAAACCACAGTATAAGGTCCTAAACAAACGAGTCAGCCCGGTTAACCGGGCCAGCTCGGCACCATGTAATCACCCCCTTAGCCGACTTACCGACCTCGTAGCTCAGTTGGTAGAGCATTGGATTAGTATCGCAAAGGTCGCGGGTTCGATTCCCACCGTGGTCAGACAAACTGTTCAGCTTGCCCGGTGTGGATGCCCACTCAGAGCAACACCACAAACATCATATTCACCTGAGCACACAACACACATATACACAAAAAATTAAGTAATAAGGACGGTGTTCTATTGACTCTCCTGGCCTTAAAGCACAACGCCAAATAACTCCCCATATTATAGACATATATGGATAACTAAACCTATTTTAATATTGGCATGGAATACTAAAACAATATAACCTAGGAATGTGTCTCGAACACGTTGTAAAATAAAACAATCGTTAAATAATGTTTTTTGATAAATCCTGAAATTTTCATGGCTTAGGGCAATCTTGTGCCAAGCTCAAACTAAACTTTCTCAAAGTGGTAGTGAACAATATTGGAGAAAAATATCGCTACTTTCGATATTGAAAATTTCAGAAAAATTATACTAATTGGTATTGATATCACCAAGTTTCCCGTATTTGACGTAGACTCCCACGGCAACGCTACCGCGGAGGTGAACAACTATTCGTTGAACTAAATGATTGTAAGGAAAACCTGTCGTCTATTATCCATCGTATGAAATTAACACGGTTTAAGGGTCGAGGGTAAGACAAGGATTTGTTGTTGAGAAGAGTTCTAGGATCCAATTTGAAATAACCGTTATCCCAGCTTGAAGTGTAGCTGTTCTAGACTAGACGTGGTAATCTGTGAAAAATTTATTGTCACTTCCATGACTCACTCAAATATTGAAGACTAAAAAGCAATGTCAACAATCATATGTCATTACAATATGTAAATCAATCAGAGCCACAATCTTGATCATTTCCCGATTTCTCAGGAGGCAAATGGTGTCTGCAAAGAAAGTACAAGTGCAGACAACATGAAAATGTAGACTGCAGAAATTGCACAAGCAGTTATCCAACTCATGTCACAGAAATAGTAAAGGACACGTGTGACAACTGAATATTGTGTCCTTTTGTAAAGGTTTTGGCCAAGGGGTGGATATTTATTTTTTAATTGATATTTAAGGTTGGGAAAATTTTTTTTTTACTTTTCAATGGTTGGATCAGCAAAATTTTTTACCAAGAAAAACATTTCTTTTCGGTGCCCCCCCCCCCTCCCCCGCCATAAATAATGACCGATCCCTTATGGAATCTCTAGCATTTCTTGTGTTTTACCTGCAACAAGGAAGTGTTGGGAGTGTTTCTAATATATTTAACAAATTTATTGAGGATTCTACAAAATTTTAACACACAGCAGTTCTATATAGAAGTAAGTAGAATATACCCAAATGGACAATATCAAGCACGAACGAGCCACGAGGCATAAAGTCCCATGCAAGGTGCTTACCATTCCAAAACTATACAAAACAAAATAGAACACAATACAATACAAAACAGCACAAACATCAAACACAATTATTTACTAAGTTCTATGACATGATTATATCCATTTCATTAATTTTAATTAATTCATTTCATACGCCGGCTATAGCTGAGACGCTTCAAGCACTAGCATGCAACAACTAATAAAACTGGATAGTTGATCAGGGCCATCATAATTAGCCATCTTTCATGTTTCGCGCGCTACTCTGGTTTAAATAAATGATTACAAAGCCCAGTCGAATTGTAATCAAGACCCAACGTTTCAACACTCCAGTCTAGTGTCTTCATCAGGGGTTCACGATCTAAAACTGCGATCGTGGCTTCTTAAATACCCAAGGGATGACGTCACCTGCCAAGAAGATGCATATATTCCTCTGGCAAATAGGCGCCGTCATCCCTATTCAAAGCATGATGACTCATATTTATATGCCACGGCATGTGGATTTAGTTTCAAGGCGGGCATCTTAAACGAAGCTCATTCTGGCCATTACTGGGCTTAAAGAAAGGTTCTTGCATATTAAATTACTATGCGATAGGCTGGATCGCCAAGATGTCATGTCTCCAGTGGGCTCACAGTAGCTGCAGATTTCATGACCTCGTGAAATCAGAAATATTCTTACCCCCTTGGAAGGTCCTTAGCATATTAATGGCAATATATCCAAATTTGAAAGTATTTACATCCGGTAGTAAAATTTGAATACTCTTTCATCCTGAGAACGATATCATGTGACGATATTTTATCTGTGCAACTTTTATTTAATTATAGTTAATGGACTATCATCATTGAATCAAACAGTCAATATTCAAGCACGAATTTGGGCATCACAAATTTGGTGCAGCATGCGATTGTAATTATAAGTTCTTAGCGTGAACATTGAAAACGATTCAATTAAACAAGTTGATTCCAAAACTCTTGGAGTGACAATTGACCAGTATTTATCTTGGAGAACTAAAACCGAGAATATTTGCAAGAAAATAACATCCGGAATATCGGCTCTTAGACGTTTAAAAGAATTTGCCGATAAGCAAACACTTCTTTCTGTATATAATGCAAAATATTGTTCGCCCATATTTTGATTACTACTGGAAGTGTGCATGCATGGGATGTGTTTAAGGAAACACAACCAAAAAGACTCCAAAGACTACAAAACAGAGCTGCTCAGATTATTATGAATGTGAGCAATGACATAGATCATTCTGTTGCATTGCAAGCATTGGGTAGTTAACAACCTCGTTCCCAGGGCTTTCGTGTGAGGACGAGGGTCACACGAAAGCCGTGGGAACGAGGTTGGGAAGTCACTTAAAACAAGAAGGAAAAAAGTAAAGTAAAGCAAAAATCACAGGGTTCGAAATAACGGTTTGTGATTCGTGAATCACGAATCAATTTTCATTTTTCACGAACCCAATTTCATAGAAATTGATCAAAATCACGAATCAAAAGTCTCTCAAATTGATAAAAATATACAATAGTAAATTTAGTTCTTTGTAAATGTGATGAAGGATCATATATTTTGAAGATATTGTTGTTAGATTGTACTTAAAAACGATTATAATTCCACCCAAAATTCTATTTCTTTGCGAGTTTGCGATGTATATTATATATGTGAAAATTGCAGTGCTTCCACTTTGTAACTTCCAATTAGAGAAAATTCCTTGAAAATTCCTTAAAATAAAAAAATTAATTCACGAACCATTTTTTCAGAATTAATTCGAACCCTGAATCATGTACAAATTATTGAATAAATGGGACCCAAATCACTCACTAATCTCTTCACTGAATTCACATATAAGGGTGAGGTGACAAACTACAAACTTCGGAACATTTCAAGTAGTCTTTGTTTACCACAACCTCGTATATAATATTATGAAAAAAAGTTTCATGTATGACGGAGCAAACCTTTGGAATTCTATTCCTAAAGAAATTAGAGAGAGCAAATCCTTTTCTTCATTTCGAAAGAAAATCGCTACTCACACTGATTGATAGCTAATTGATTATTACTTTAGTATCTGTAAATAGATTATTACTTTAGTTAATTTTGTTAGCTCATATACTGTAATACTATATATCTATACTGTATATAATTTTGTAAATAGTTTTTAAAATTCGTTTCTGTATACTTTTTCGCACGCCCATCGTGGAAATCAGCTTCGGTTGACGAGGTCAGCGTGTTTAAATAACGTTTTTCTATCTATCTATGTTATTTCAATTTTTGTCAGACCTGAGACCTTGGCTAGTACAATTGTATATAATGAATTATTCTTGACTTGCAACCTATACCTTGAGAACAAAAAACAAAACAAAATGGTGGCCATGTTGGTGCCAGATTCAATCACGGAATTGTTGTAAGTCAAGAATAGGATATTGGCCATGTATTGTTATACGAGTACTTCACCCGTGACTTGCACAACTTAATATACTAGAGTCGAGACATTCGTCAAGGCACACAATTACAGTTTACTATATAAATACAAGATCTTTATCCTCTCATACAAGATGAACAATTCACACAAACATGCTCCTAATCATGCTCATGTCCGCGATATTTCTTGATTGTTCTGTAATGCATGTCCTTGACTTTTTAACCACCGATCATCTATATATCAATATAAACCACAACACAAACAACCACTCAACCATACCAACTATAGCTGGCAATAGTTCTGAGAACAACAAATTACGCAGGCCTGATCAAATTTCCTGACAGCCTAGACCAAGCGACAATTAACGCATGCAAATTCGTATTTGAATGTGCGTGCAGACAGCTATATGCAAATAGACCAAATAGACTAATAATCTTGCAGGATTAATATAGAAAAATCACTATTATAAGACGAACAACCATGCATTTTGGAATCCCGTTATTGTATAACTAATCTCTGTGTGGTAATTCCAGCCATGTAATCTATTGTATAACTAATTTTGTGTAATAGTTTGTGTTAAATGGCAAAATCTGTAAAATAAAAATAAAAAATGTGATTCGTGAACAACCATCAATTTCTTTTATAGTCTACTTGTATTCTTTTTAAAACTTTATTGTAAGGCAGTTATTCACTAAAGGCACTTTTGTTAAGACAAATAGACAATTTGTATAGAAATGCATGCACACCATGACACACGTAACAGTGGTACAGCCCACATGCAGCGTTAGACTTGCGCAAATAGTTACGCCCTTTCGACTGTGGCTATGTTTTTGATATGACTGCATGAAACAATAGTTCACAATACTGCCAAAACGTTCGGTCACATTTGATTGGCTGGTGTATTAACTATAGGCATAGCCAATTACAATTACAAAGCGAATCGGAACATGCAAACGTCCGAACGAACTTCGGAATTTTACAATGAACATTCCGAACTTACTAACAAACATTCAAAGTATCGAAGTCGGATTTCTAAAGCAAATCGAAATCCATAACAACATCCTGTGCCATAGTTGACATAGTCGTTATATCTATAGTCAAGTATATCCTTTCAAATGTTGCAAAGTCGGATTAAGTTTCAAACGGTGACGACTGCATTCCATATACACCAAGTTGTTTCTAAGTTCTTTCTCATATTTATATTTGCAGCACAGTCAATAGATGTATATTACAAGATGCAGTGCATACAAAAATGTCTTTCTTGACGTGGGTAATTGAAAAAATGGAAAAAAAATTGAAATATTGGCTTGATCGATTTTGTGCAAATTTTCGCGTGGTATTTCCGGCGTGAGTCAGTGCGATACAATAAATATGCAGTTCAAAAGCATGAAATCAAGGGATTATGTTTCGAAAGTATCTCTATATATCTCGTTAGCTTACTCTGAATACAAATATACAAAATAAGCCAAATTGCGTAGACGTGTCGGTGGTTTCCTGCGCATTTTAGCACGAGAAAGCGCGACAGACATGCTTTGCGTCTAGAATTACTTGAAATTCACAAGCATAGAATATTTTAAGATACGCTGCCGCGGTTTGCGTCCGGAACTATCTGAGAATGGTAATACCAAACAGGTCCAAGCTACTGGTGATCACTAGCTTGTCTCAAGTCAAATGCCCCTTTCGATCTAGCAGCGTTTAGAGAGTTCAGACACAAATGAGTTGACTATACTATCTACAACAAGTATTTAATCAAATATATATAAATGATTATACTATCTACACCACTTACTATTATCATGTCCAGGGTGGTCGGCAACTGAAAATGATACAAGAAAGAGCGAAATACAGGTGGCAAAAAGATAATTCATTCTCAAAATTTTCGCTTAGCTTCTATTCTCTGTCGCGATTCAAACGTCCACCTTTGGGCAAATAGACAGAGCAAATTGCGTGAAACGCCTTTTACGTGTAATATCAAATATCAATTTACATAAGTGGAATTTTCCGGTTGGCGATTGGCTGGGCTATTTGACGTGCCTACCATCATAACTGATCAATTTCCAACCTGCGAACGGGCATAATCTGCCTTACCAAATTAAGAAGTCACTACGCGCAACATTCCACAATTTCCACGGGGGTCCATTATAGTTTGGCGGTTTTGGCGCATTTGAGAGGGCGGTTTTCGGTTACATTTTCATGGCGGTTTGCGGTGAAGAAGTTGAGCATTGACTATGGTTGTTTACCATTTACATGTAAAACCCATCCGGTTTGAAATTGTGCTAATGGTAAGCAAAATTTCGGATAGAAAATCAATAATTTCAATTGTTAAATCACGAAGAGCCTGGAACCGGTAAAAAAAAATTAAAAAATGTAAATGGACAACATTTACCGGTTGAAACTTTCCAATCGGTAAGAGAGGACAACCTTTTCAAACAAACCGTTTATTCCGGATAAGTTCCGGTTGAGCAGTCGAAATATGCTTGTTCCATTTACTTTCCGTATGGAATCACCGGAATTTCCGTGTAAATAGTAAACAACCATTATTTGAAATCGTTGAGCATTGACTATATTTGACATGTAAGTTCCACTGCCCATGTGAAGATTGGCTGCAGCCTTCACAAAAATAAAATGAAGCATAGTAAATTTGTCACATTTATTTAGTCAGGCTTTCTGTTATTGAAAAATGATCTAAACCTGGGAACGGGGAATTGGAGTTCGCAAATTGTAAATCCTTTTTTACGCAAAAAACAAAACGGCTTATGAGTTATGAGTTATGAGAACCGTCAATTCATCATTATCGTTGTTACTTGTTAGTTTGCCGCGAAAGTATCAATCTTTTCATTGGGCCTGCATAAATCTAGAACGCGAGGCACCCAAAACTCGCGAGTCATACACACATGAATACTGCAGCGAGCCATGCATGTTTCGCAGAAACGTTTCTATTGCCAGTATTGGATCCGGCATTGTCATTGAAATATGTGCGAGCGTGTAACACTACGATGCTGAAAACAATGTTTTCCGATTTACGGTACGGAATAAAGGTTGAAGATAGTCATATTTTCATATATCCAAAATCGACAATTTTAAGTTTGATCTTATTAAACTTTTGATAATCACTATTTCTGAGCCTTGTGCGCAACCACGGCAGCACATAAGTGACTAGATTCAACTGACGAAATTGAAGCTAAATCTATTTATATACTGGATAGCTTTATTTGTTGTAGACTATACATATGTTCTCACAGAGGTCTATATAGTGGTCCATAAGGCATTGACTACAGGACGAAACCTAAATTAGACCGTCAACGGGCGTCAATTTATTTATTTATACTAGACTAGACTGAGAGTACTTATTTATATCTTGTATTTGTCGTTACTCCTAGTGTACTGCTATTCTTGCAAAATCTACCTCTTCATTGTCAATATTCGTGATATCATTTGGTTTTGGATTTCCATGTGCCTCCATTAGTCGGTCATTAAACTGTTCTTCGTCAAGGTGCAGTGTAAGGAGACACTAAACTGGACTAACTTCGTGCATTGATGCTGGATAATTAAGTTTACATACTCAATTGATCGTAGTTAATTTCGCCGTGAAAGCCTTTTTTGATTGCATGCCGGAAATATAATTGTTTGGTATTTGTGAGAAGATCACTTTACTTTGTATTGCTCATGCACCAGTGACTTAATTGGATCGAATTTAAAGCTTCGCCAAAACCAAGGCAAAGAAATAAACGTGTCTACAAATATATTTATTTTTACCATGCAAACCTACAAGGTCAAGGATCTTATTGTGCATTATAACAATGGTATCAAAATAACGAAATATTTTTTAAAAAGCAAAATACACGGCTAACTATTGGCGGGAAAAAAAAACACAAAATGCGTGATAGCTACTATTTTTTCCAAATGGCATTAATGAAAAGGTTCCAAAGGAAATTAGAACTTCCTTTCATTTCATTTCACACATCCTATTGTACATTTTACTATTATAGAAGGGTATTTCCCCATCCCCTTTCAGACAGCAGAAATTTCATTTGTTTTTTGGGAGTTAATTTATATTGTGTTGACCGAATAGTGAATAAAACTAGCTAAAAGATTGCCAATCAGTTTAGAGAGTATAGTTTTGTTCAAATGCGGTCAGTATGTTTCTCCCTCAATTAGAAATAAAATATCTACTGTTAATAAATTGGATAGATTTAGTGTAACATATAGATTTAGGTTTCCAGTTTGTGAAATGAAATGCAAATTAATTGCATTATATTTTAGATGTTCACACTTCTCAAACTTCAATGTTAGGCTATAAGGACAACACAACGACTGTCAAGGAGACTGTACCTATATATATATATATATATATATATATATATATATATATATATATATATATATATATATATATATATATATATATATATATATATATATATATATATATATATAATTAACAAATATAAAACATTTTCCGTGTTGATATACAGTTATATCAACACGAGTGGAAATTGGGAAAACGAGAAATTGTATGGAAACACGACGCCCGAAGGGCGGAGTGTTTTCATACAATTTCGAGTTTTCCCAACTTCCACGAGTGTTGATATAACTATATATCAATACGGAAAAAATGTTTTATATTTTTTTTATAATATAGCAATGTCAAAAGCCCGAAGGATAAGAAAAATTTCCGTGTTTGCAAGCGGCGGAAAATTTCCCGTGTTGACATTGAGTTATATCAACACGGCTCTTAGCCAATCAGCGTTCAGAATTTACAAATGCTATATTATAAATATATATGAAACACGCGTAGGAGTGCTTTATCATATTTAAAATACGAGTACGCAGCACGAGTACTTTAGATATGATAAAACACGACTATACAGTAGGCCTATACAAGTGTTTTGAATAGCTTCAAACACGATTACAATAGATGCCGTCTCAGTATATTTTTTTATATAAATACTTCAAGTGTTTTGAATAGCTTCAAACACGACTACAATAGGTCAGCATGCATACAAGTCGGTCAGCCTGTCTACAACCTCGTTCTCATTGAATTGTCCATTGATGAGGAATTATATAAGTACAGCGTGGAGACAAACAATTTTGATAGTTTGGCTTCATTGATTTGAACACTTGCTTTATTCAGATACACCCTCGCCGATTCAATAGTTGCTAATGTAAATTTGTACTAGCCAATCTGCAGGACAGATGTGTTAAATTTTTCCTATATGTAATATGGGATAACGATCATGGAGAATTGGCAACGATCGATGTAAAGACTAATGAAAAATTCAGTTATGGTATGGGTTGTCCAAAACTATCAACATTTCCTTAAGTGTATACAAATATGCTTCGGGTAGGCGGGTTCATAACCAATACACGCTTTTTAAAATATCGAACTATTGAGTATAGATCCATGCACCATCATCTGTTCAGTCGCTGTGGGAGGGGGTTGAAAAGTGTACTCTCTGTACACTTGTGAAACTGGTAATAATTATGGATGATTTACAGTGTAACACTAATGCCAGGTTTAATTAACTGAAAATAAAGTTATGAGGACAGATTGTTCGTGTTGAATATATTATAAACGTTCCATTTGGCATCCATTCTTGTGGAAATTCAATATAGCTGTGCTCCAGTAATGGCACAAATTATTGATATAAACAACTAATTTTGATATTGCATAGACCTTGGATTCGCTTTATTATTTCCTGGTGTCCTACTGGGCTCATAGCAGGACCAAAATGGCGTTTATATTTATATTCACACCATTATATATTGTGCCTGATATTAGGCAATCTCGTACCCAGAGCAATGCCTGTGCGCGGGCTAGGATGGCATTGGCTCTGCGGAAATTGACAACCGGAACCCCTAAATTTAGGGGTTCCGGTTCTTTGTCGGCATGCACGATTGATAAACGTTAAACCAATCACAGCACAGGAAAAATTCAATTTCCCCAGACCCAATGCCATCCTAGCCCGCGCACAGGCATTGCTCTGAGTACGAGATTGGATATTAGGCTGAATGTTGGAAAATATTGGCCAGCAACAAGCTTCGTGCCTTGGCGACTGCGAAGCATGCATTTTACTGTAAGCAAATTATTGTTATGGAAATCCTTATTAATCAATCATACAACCAATCATAGGGCTCAATTACAGGAAGTGATTAGTGGTAAACCAATCATATTTATTGTAACAAAATCCTTAAAGCACATGTCAAGGTCAAATGTATAAACCAATCACAACAGTATTTACCAGGGTAGTCTCTTTTCTCGCGCACCATCACGAAGAAGACCCTGGGGACGAGGTTGGGGCTGGCCTTTTCCAACCTGCAAACGGGCATAGTCTGCCTTACGAATTTATCATTACGGTGCAACATTCCACGGACTCTTATTTTTGGCATATATCAGTTAGCATTATATATAATTGATCGGTCGATCGTTAGGAAAAAGATCGGTTGTGATGCATGATAGGAAACCACTCACCTGCAATAAATCCATATGCCCCCCCCCCCCCTGAAACAATTACTGGGGACGAACCAGACGTTTTGTCGCGCCGAACCTGAAACGCATTAAGTTTGGCAAAGTTTGGTCATATTTAATTAGTGAAGGTTCATTCAAACGTCGATGGTTGATGGTTCGATATATATATATACAGCTAATTCAAAAAAGGTTGTCCTTTGCAAACCTATACTTACTCTAAACCTTAAACCTTAAACTCTAAGCATGCAAAGCCTAATGGGCCGGGGCATAACTATTTAATCAGTTTAGAGATCATATATGGGGCTAAATATCTCCTTATGAGAACAATTCATTCACAAAAGCTGTAATATTCAACTACTAAGCTTGAAACTCATATAAAGCTATAATGAGTCGCTGGACCACAGTACAACCGAAGTACTTCACCCCGAAATTCAGCTTTAGTTTTTAAGTTCCGAGTCTGAGAGAGTTGCTGCCTGCCTGCGCAATTGTGGATGTTGTGAGAGCTATATTGTTGGTTGTGGTCGTACTAAGCCGGTTACAGATGAGCAAGTTTTCCGATATGACAAGTTTTATATGCTCGTCTGTGTAGGCAACCGTTTGCCAATTTTTACTATGACAAGTAAACGTCACAGAAAAATTGGCAAAATCAACAAAGAAAATTATTTGGCAAAGCAATTTGCTCACGTACATGCGGATTAATTGGCCAGCGATCTATATTGCATGTTCATTGATAGCTAATCAGATATCGTGGCGGTCATGCAGAAAAACAAAAACTTGCTACACACGTGCAATCGACAAAGACTTGTCATATCGGGCCGTGGGCTGTTGGCCAAAATTATTTCGCTTCGTGGCACCCATGTGGGAAATACTTGGTTTGGGGTTTATTTGAAAGGCATATAGGTACATCACTACCAAAAAAAAGTTCCCAAGCAAAAAGTTGCCAAATACCGGGAAAATGGGTGATCAATGATTATCCTCTATTAAATTGTAGCCTATTACAGCAAAAAATGGGAAATTTTATAATTCCATTACTGATAAAAATGAGTTGCATCATCGGAAAACGTACAAAAAACCGCATATAAGACTTTTAAACAGTTTTTTGATCTTTCAAATAGTCTTTGAGTTATTCGGCTATTTTAAATGTGAAAATTCGGACCAAAATGTCGCAATAACGACTGGGTACTAGGTCAAAAATGCGTTTTTGACAGCGTATAACTCGAAAACAATTTTAGGGACCGGTCATTATTTATGGCAGGGGTGGGGGCCGAAGAGAAAGTATAATGAAGCCGGAAAAAATCATTACCCAACTTTTTCGAAACAAAATTTCTAGCTACCCCACCGGTGGAATGCCAGAAAATTTTTTTACCCCACCCAAACCTATTTTGTTGCAATGTCAAAGGTTCAGACATAAAATATGTAATGAAACAGTTTAGTATTTTGTATGCGTATTACTCATCAAGGTACAAAATTGCCCTTGCTGTTAGAGAGTATCTGCTGTTAGAGAGTAAATAATAATTATTATAGGGTGCTTTGACCACAGTGGACATTATAATTAAAAGGGAATAGGATTGATTGGTAATACTTGTTTACCAATATCCCTTGCCCCTTATTTCTTGTGGAGTAATTAAAGCACACTAACAGTCATGTCTTTATATTATGGGTTACCCCTACAATAGCAAGGTACTATATAAAGAATTATAGTTATCTGAAGGCTTAAAATTTGTCTACTTGTAAAATTGAAATATGAATGGGTTTTTATAGTTTGTATTCAACGCTATATTCCCTTTTCACGAGATAGTGCAATGCTAGTCCCATAAACATATATTAACCATATGCTTCAATATTTTAGAACACTAACCGTATTTTCACCACCCTATCTCTTTCCCACTTTAAAGTTTCACTGTATATAATTTGGTTTCTTTCACATTCTTGCATTTCTTTATTAATTAAAATGCAATTTTATTTTTAAACAGTTTCACAAAATATGTGCTCACCCATGATTGCAACTATCTAAATTCTAAAATTTCCTCTATAGACAATCACATGTATTATCACGGAATTTTAAAGGAATTCCTTAAGAATTCCCAAGGAATTCTTGAAGTTTATGAAATCAATTTAATATTTTAATTCATAAACAATACAACGATACTAATTAAAAGTATTTGTCCCATGTGAGAATATCTGAATTTAGAAAGTTACTGTAAATTAATGAGAAAAAGTTGCTGTTATACAGTGTGAAGATAAAGATATTCATCCGAATTCCAAGTATGATTATATAAACAATTAAATTAATCTGTAAAACGGGTAAATAGAATTCTCTTATTTTATCCATGTATACATGATCTGCTAGTAAAGAAAAACAGCTAGTTGCCAAAGGCTAGAGTTGAACATATTGTGAACTAGCCATTGGAATGATTCTCCAGATTCACAAGGGGCATGGGGCATATTTCATGATTTGCTACCTAATTGTCCACATGGTTTACAAGCACATACTGGATATAAATATTAGTTATGCAGTATCAAGTGTAGATGCCCAAAAATTAAATCCTGAAAATTTAATAGACTGTACATATACTTTTTGAGATATGTAATGAGAGGATGTTTATATGGGGGTGAGGCTGGATGCCCGGAGTTAGGGGCTACAGACTTAAGGTCACTTTTCCTGAAGCAAGATCTCGGGCTAAAGGGGTGGGATCTCGCTTAGCTATAGCTGGGCCCACTCTTTACCCATATATACACAAGGTGAACTTTAGTAAGAAATAACAACAAAGGCAGGATCTTGCCAAAACTGGGCCAGCTTGGGTATACCCTGGGGTTGGCTTGCAGTTGCACCATATAAACAGCCCCTATATATAGGCAGTATATATTTTGTCTGGTAATTGGAGTCTTTGAGATTTTGTGTGTAAATGAATATAAAAATGACCCTTTACGGGTGGGTTGAGGGGGGTGTTTCTGTCAACATTTTGGAAAGCAATAATATTTTATTAAAAAATTAGAATAATCACATATATTTAAACTCTGATAGTAGTATATATTGTATTGTGTGTGATTAAAGTAAGGTTATTTTTTTTTTACCCCACCTCTGCATGCAAGGATTTTTTGGCCACCCCACCTAAAGCAACTATTATTTTTCAGTTACCCCACCATTTTCTCTTCGGCCCCCACCCCTGCCATAAATAATGACCGGTCCCTTAGATATAAAAAACTGTTTAAATGTCTTATATGTAGGTTTTTGTAAGCTTTCTGATGATGCAAGTCATTTTTGTTGTAATTGAATACAAAATTTCACATTTTCTTGCTGTAATAGATTTTAATAGAGGATAATCACTGATCACCCATTTTCTCGGTGTTGGGCAAGTTTTTTGCTTGGGAACTTTTTGTGGTAATTAAGCATCTATGGTTCTATAAATTGAACCACAGAAAATCTATTTCCCAGGAGGGTGCCACGAAATTGCTTTTCTAGGCACTTTTTCGCACAACAGCCCACGGCCTAATACGAAAATTTGTCATAGAAAACTTGCTCGTCTGTAACTGGCTTAATTGGACATATTTTTCGTCCGTTTACATCCGTTACTGTTTTCTCCAGTCGTTCATTTCTCATTTGTGTCTAATGACAGCGTCCTATCTCTTTCGTCGGGTTTTCACTGACATATTTCCAGAACTGGCCACCGAATGAGCAGATTTCCTTGGACTGTCTGCTCTCTGAGCTCTTGCCATTGAATTGATATAAAAACCACCTTTGCAATAACGAGAGCCGTCGTTACCTGTAATTATAGAGAAAAGATATATGACATATTAAATCGTGGAATTCATTGTCAAGGATCGCGCAGAGGGGGCTGGTATTGAAATGAAGTTCACGAATCTTCCTAAGGGGGTCTGTGCGCATCCCCACCCCAGGAAATGTTGAAATTTACAAGCCCGGAATAGAAAACGTGCAGTCATAAACCCCATCGCTTGCATTCAAAGATGCAGAATTTGATCAATACAGTAAAAATCATTTTCTTGACTGAGTCTACCGTGCTACCGTGGGCAAAAATCTTATTCCTAACACAAATCCTACCCTAACCAAATTACCAAAGCCTGCCTTAATTAATTTTCAGGTAGGGTCTTAGGATGTTAGCTTCAGAGGCCGAGCCGGGGGGGGGGCTGTTACCCGAATACCAAACTACCAATATACTCGATGTAATACGTACTGGCTCAATATACCACCATGCCAGTATACCCAAAATTCCAGCTAAATGTAGAATTTTATAGCGCGTATTTCAACCTATTTTACTAACAATAAATTACTGTCTACCAAAAATGAAATGTCCAAAAGTAAGTTACCCCACCCACCCTGGTTTTGGAACTTTTTGGTGGTTTTTAAATCCGGCGGCCATTTTGAATTTTAGTCAGATATACTGAAATTGCTTCATTTTGAATTCATCAAAATGAGGTTCGTTGGACTGTTTTATATCTATTTTACAAGAGAAATAAGCAAGAAGAACAGCTCAATATGTGAGTTTGAAGAGTTTCATTGTACAAATGACATGGTTGAATTTAAAATTAGATAATTTAAAAGTTACATATTTTTAATGCATTTTTTTAATATAGAGCCAAATATATGGAATATAGAAGTATTTCTATGATGTGGAACGTTATATGGTGTTTGACTTGGTTTATACGGTAAGAAGTAGTTTTATCAAACGATCTAAATTATCAATTGATTTGTTTGAAACTCAAATTATTTTAATCTGGATTAAAATGACTTGCATGGAAAGCACCTGGATTGCATGGACTATTGTGCATTGTATTATTTCCAAAATCTATACCCCGGGTCCCCATGCTGACCTCAGAATTGAACTCGTCATACTCAAATTAGTTCATACTGAAAATTTCACAGTGTTTGGACATTCAAGGCATGAGTTACAATATTTTGAAAATTTTGTTTTTCCAATGTATTTGACTCGAAAATGCTTCATTGCAGCGGTAAACAAAATTTTTGACATGCCGTAAAAGAAGAGTTGGCTGTACATAGAAGGGCTGATGGTTTTGTTTTTGTAAGAGGAGTGCCAGCCCTATTGCGAGTCTCCAGGTTTTGGGGCTGAAGCCGCTGAACTGCAGTTCACACGACTGGACTCACAGTATTTGAGGAAAATGATTTTTATTGATCAAATTCTGCATCTTTGAATGCAAGGAATAAGATTTATGACTGAACGGTGCTTGCATGTAGATAATCTTGGTGCTTACATGTAGATAATCTCCAGGACTATATCAGTCCTGTTGAGGTGCGCACCTCCCCTGAGATCGTTTTGCACCTCCTCTGAGAATGTTTGCAACTCCCCTGAAAAGTCATGCACTTCCCCTTGGGAAAGTTTCAATGATAGATCAAAGTGAAAATTTGACATTTTTTGGTTGCTTAGGGTTTACACTTTGTAAGAACGTTTTTCTGTAAAATTGTCGGACACAATGATAGCCATTCATCTGTCGAGTACCCTTTTAATGCAATGTTTTGAAAAAAACTTTGTAGTAATTGTAATGAAAGGCAAAATTGGATGAGTTCTACAGTCATAATTCATTAATACATTGAAACATATTGTATGTACATGACATGCATGCATCACATTGACTTTGACCCATTCTAAGCCCTACAGTAACTTTCCATGGGGGTCCTGCACCTCCCCTACATTTTTTCCACCTCCCCCACTATTTCCACCAAAATCCGGCCTTGGGTGATCATTACAATAAGTTATTGTAATGTTTAAAGTAAGACTAACCCCATATATGATTCTTGGTTATGTAATATTTGTGTCTGAAATATATTTTATAGTGAAAGTTTCACTGTCAAAGTTTCCACATATGTTGTCAATAGATGAATTGCAAATTAGTTTTCCTTTCTTTTTGCTACATGTTAAATTTCTTAGAATGACCCAAATATTATATACAAATTCCAAAAATTGTATTTGGGGTTATAGTCACACTTTGAATAAAAAATAACCACTGATTAATAATGGCAAGATTTTGCTTACTGGGACTATCCCATTTAACAGCCCAAACGTATGGACTTTTTCCTGGAATCAATTGTGGATATGCAACCAGCATTTCTTAACCTAGCTGGTATCCAAACTGAAAATCCATATTTTCAAAATAAAAAATGCTTTCAGTGTATTATTTACTGTAGTTTCCATGAATTCAAAAGTTCACTAAATATAAGAGGTTTCCCATTACCAATGATAGAGTTTGATGTTAACAGCAACATTAACTACAATGTCAGAACTTTTGTAATTGTCTTGATTAAACATGGCTCAGATAGACAGGACCCTACATACAGTAGCTGGTGCATGTGTACAGCCTGCACCCTTGTATTGGTTGCAAGTAAATCAACCAAGAGGCCATCGCTAAGCCATTAATCATGGAATGGTATGATCATAGATACTGTATACTAGTGTATGCACTTACCAGGCATCCTAGTATAACTTCTTTGTATGATTGTTGTGGTTGTATCAGTGGAAATTATGCTTTGTTCACGAGTAATCCTTCTGCTTCGATTGGGAACTAAAAAGAGCAGAACAGAAAATCTTCTATGTTAATATTCAATCAACAGAAATTTGACATTCTGGTGTAATAAAATACAGTACATTATAATATTGCATTTGTAAATTCTGAATGCTGATTCGCTAAGAGCCGTGTTGATAATTAACTCAATGTAATAAAAAAACATATAAAACATTTTTCCATATGCAATACAACTCAATGGGTTAATTAACCCATAAATTAAGACACAAATTCTAGAAAGCATGATATATCAGCAATATTAAACATGAAAAAATGAATACCAAAAACATACAGTAGATTCTCACAAATTGCATGACACAATATTGTAACCTATTAACTAACATTGCGCCCCAATGTGCGCTCTACTTTATGATTTTATTCATAAGGGGAGAGCACTGGAACTCAATGGGTTAACAGGTCCACAACATTTCAAAAGTCAGTGTTATTCCTAGAAGCAAAATTGGGACCGATCACCATTGAACGACCAGCATCTTACAAGTTTGAATGGTCATAACAAAAATTTATGCTGACATCCATGTTAATAGAACTGTCTGTATTGACAAGACCTCTATTTCTCAAAAATGGCATGATCCAATTATCCACTTCATAAAATAAAGTAGAAACAAACTCAAATAGAAGTTCCATCTTGAAACTTAATATTTAAATTGAACAAGAGGAGACAATATTCAACAGTTATAGTTTTGAATTTATTGCAAATTCAAAATATCACTGTTGAATATTGCTCTACTTAACCCATTGAGTGGCAGCACTCTCCCCCTGATGAGTAAAATTGTCTGGCGTTAGACAGAGTAAACTGTAAAGTAATAAAGTAAGGTGCATCTGGGTGCATTGTCACTTAAAGGGTTAACAGAGTCCATGGGCAGATAGTCTGATTAACCCATTGAGTGGCAGCACTCTCCCCCTGACGAGTAAAATTGTCTGGCATTAGACAGAGTCAAATAATAAAGTAGAGTGCATTGTCACTTAAAGGGTCAAATATTAAGTTTCAGATGGAACTTCTATTCAGACTTTTTTCCCACTTTGTTTATGAAGTTATCGACTGGCAACTACAGTAATTCTCCACTTACTGTCTCCTTTTTCATCATCATAAACTGGATCATCCTCTGGTGTATCAAATTGTGTATGACCTTGAACACTGCTTGTCTTCTTGCTTCTCCCATTCTCGGCATGCGCCCCCTTTCCCTTGGCAGGTTTTCGGAGAGGTGCGTTTAACTTACTCCCCGAAAATTCCCCAGGGGGTAATGTATTTGCATGATAAATCTGTCCATAATCTCCCCTAAGCCATGTCGGTAGTGTCGAATCGAACTGCTGGTGCATCATTAAAGGTTGGTTCTTTTTTGGGCTAACCTTGGCGGCTCTTGTCTGCCATTGGTATAAAAACAAATGACGCTCGCTGTCTTTTTTACCCCAAGCGTTTGCGGTATCAACAGGAGATTTCCCTTGCACATCAAATACCTCTATGGTGGCCCCCCTCTCCAACATAATATCTATACACTCCGAGTTCCCTTGTGAGGCAGCCATATGCAATGCAGTCCTTCCCATTGAGGTCTTATGATTAATATCTGCACCCAAATCTAACAGAGCTTTAAGTAGTTCAGTGTTATTTCGATGTGCAGCTAACAATAATGCTACTTGTAATTTTTCCTTCGCAGTCTCAACTTTATGTTTAAAAAATGCTCTGTCTAGATTCTCCCAAGATTTCTCTAAAGTCAACCCTAATGCTAGAATTTCTTGCACACTGCCTCTGACAATAACACTGACCACATTTTCCCACATTTTCCATAGTTTTAAATCGATCGTTGCCCCAGATACAATATCATTGTGTTTCAAATCTGACGTATCTACCATATCGGTTTTGTCAAGATAATGAAGCCTTTGAAGCGTGTACGGTATACCAGCGACGAGTTCCACATGAATTTTCAAGTCTTTGATTTTCGTTTCACCCGTAACTTTATGAATCGTAAATCTTTCGCTTGTGACTTCAATGTTTAGATATATATCAAACGTAGGGGTTTTAGTCGAGACAGTCCCCTTTTTCTTAACTTTAGCCATATTTTTAGTAGTGGCGTGTCAAATTAGAATATAAAAATTGTCAATTAGAATGAAAATTAGAATGCGATATAAATGTCAACGTACTCCATCTTGTTCGGTTTGTTTATTTGCATTCCATTCTAATCGTTGCTAGGCAATTCGTTTGGCACAGGCGCCTTAGTTAGTTAGGCTATTTTACAGGTAAGCACCTTGCATACAAATTCGCGTTGTTATATACTGTAGGCCCGGATAAAATGAGGCTGAGAGTGCATGAGAGTTGGTAGTCACCCGATCTTGGTTAGCTGTTTTTAATGCTTTCCAAAAACTATATTATAGAGGTGTGCATCGGATCGGATTGGACTTTTATAATCCGACAATTGCCTAATGTTTAAAATCCGATCCGAAATTGTCTAATCCGAATCTGATCCGAGTTTTGATAAAGAATTCCAATCCGATCCGATCCAAAGAATTCTTTAATAAAATAAATTTCTCATTCAAGTTGAAATATTTAACCAAATAAATATAAAAGCATGAAATACATGTCAAAAAGCTGACAAAGTGACGTCCAATTGAAGAGTCAAACGAATAATGCAGCGACAACCGCGATAATGCTTTGATAAATGCTGGTAATTAATTCTTCCGATAATACGTGGATAATTAATTAATTTTATTTCGAATATCGAAGTCCGATCTGATCCGACTACGAAACAACTTTATCAATCCGATCCGAAATGTATATTTTTGTTCCGAAATCGGAACGAATCCGATCGTATTTGGATTCGGATCGGATTTGCACACCTCTACTATATTATGTGTCCTATTTAAGTTAATTTAAGTTAAAACATAGTTGGAACGCTCATTAAACCATGATTTTACAGTCGTAGCGACCGGATGTTCTCTTGCGAGCAACATTGCAATATTGTCCCACAATATTGCAATTTTGATAGGCATATTGCTCTGAGTAATTTGCAAGCGACGCGAACAAATTGCAAGTTGAAATTCACAAAAGATTTGTGAACAAAGCTTCTGATCGGACTATAAGAAAAAAGGAAGCTCCAATCCGCCAGTTCCTCAGACATTTGATTGGCTTAGTTTCTGCTAATATTGTAGTTACAGACTATTTGATTGGCTTCCTTTTTGCTACTGCTGGAGTTTATTGTAGCTTTCCATTGTTACATGACTCTTCATCTACAACTAGCTAATTAATTACAATTTAAAGTGATACTGATAATGTAGAATAAAATTACGACTAGTAAAAACTATATAATTACACGAATTCGCCAAGATCAGTTAAAGATCTTTGAAATTGGCTAAAAATAAGTGAATAAGGTTATATTAATATTCCTGATGTTACGCTGAGATATCAATATTCCTAATAAGTAATGTCGTGCTAAAATATTACTATCATCAGTATCGAGAGTACAAAATGCCCAAGATTATAAGCACAAGCAGGGGGCCGCCCTGCCTGTTCGAAAAGTAACGTTTTTGTTTTAGTAGTTTTAAAATTTTTCTCAGAATCAGCAATAGGCTATTGGGCGGCGGAGAAAGAGAAGTTCTAGGGAAGAGAAATTCTAGAAACCTTTGTTGGTTTGTACGAGTGCGAGAGACAGAGTCCGAAGAGAAGGTGACAAAAGAAGAGACATATCTAGATCATAAAAACCTTGTAAACACTTGAAAAAGAAGAGAAGGTCCTTCACTTCCAGCCAGTACGATATTGGATGTAATTTGAGTGTTTTGAGTAGACAAGTCAAATTACCATATGATGATATGAATATATCCCATGCAATTTTGCATGTTTTTACATACTGTTTACAGTCTAGTTGTTCAAGCAGCTTTAAGCTGCTGCAAGGCTTGACGTGTGTTTGATATTTAGGCTCCATTCACACGTGTATCCGGATTCGATTGTATCCGCAAACACTTTGTCGTGGACACGCCGTCCGTGCTCACGTATCCGCGACGAAAACGCACACAGAAACAGTAAACTTTTGAAAACGATTCCATAATCCGGAGAGCCAGAAACTTTTAAAAACGCAACGAATACATGCGTCGGTTGTGTATCAATATGTTATCTCATTTTAAATATAATTATCAATTAAGCTATAATTACTTAAAATAGAATAGATGCAATACATATAATTATTAATCATCATATCATTGTTTTAGCTACTTCAAAACAACGTCATACAATTTCTCATTTAAAAATGTACATGCGCTACCTCGATTTCAAATTACAAACAAAGATAACGTGTCATTATCAGGAATATGCTGGAAATAAATTCAAGCAAATAAATAGATACCGTTGACGTCTATAAGATCCGATTACGGATAAGTGACGTATTAATCACACATATTCTAAAATTAAAAAACTCCCCATCTACACTCGAGCGAGATAAAAGAAAGAAAAAAAGGCAACTTACCACACAAATAGAATGTTTAAAATTATCCTAAACAAGCTGATTAAAATTATAAATTTAGAAAAATTTTATAGAAATCATGAAGTGATCTTATTTTTGTGTTCGGATTTCATTATAGCGTGACTGTAAAATATATGGTCGGCTATAATCCAGCTTGAACCTAGTTGCTTTTTATAGGACATGAAATTTCCATGATCGTGAGAAGCATCTAGAGTCACGCTTTTTGTGTCAATTTAAAATTTGATGTTGGCATTCTATAATTATCAGAAATGAGAAGAGCAGGTCAAAATAGCATCATTCAAAATAACGTCCGTCAAAATGGCGTCCAAAAATGAAACCTTTTTTGTACTTACTAAGGCATCAACTATTTCGCTGACCTCAGAATGACATTTCGTCAAAACTTTTTTCTTCAGGATTGGTTTAGAAACGAATTTGTAGTAGGGTTAGGTTAGGGTAAGGTTAGGGTTAGGGTCAGAGTTGGTGTTTGGAGTAGAGTTAGTGTTAGTAGAACCGTTGCTTTGTTACGTTTTGTCACTTTGAGGCCAGCGAAATAATCTCTTCCACTTACTTTTAAAGGCCATGTTACACGAGGACTTTTTGGGCATCTTCACTCGATATATAACGAATTGTGGATCGGTTTTGTAAATTTCGAGTGTGAATTTTATACATTTATTAAGCCTGTTTTCCACTTCATTCGTATCGTAACGTACCCGGTAGCATTTTCTTTTGTGTCGAAGTCATTAGTTTCACTCTAGTGCTCAGGAAACAAAGAAATACGCTACGATACGATACGATACGGTTGAAGTGGAAAACAGGCTTTAGATCTAACCAGGAGCAGTTGCGAAAATGCAATTATAGGCCCTCTGGCATGCAGGTACGGCCAGTTATCGATATAAGTACATGGCATGCATGAACGTGCCGTTAGAGCTCGACAACTGGCCCGTCTGTAGCTCTCCGGAATCGCAGGGTAATTCTTCCAAAACTGAAGAGAAACTGGGGAGGGCATATCCTCGTTCTTTCATCTGTGACATAAAATATACGAAATCTGTGGCTTTTAGATTATCATAAAACGTGCCTAAAATAGTGCATGAAATAGCGTTTCACAGACCGTAAAATAGAAAAAGTATTCGACGATTGATCCCCCCCCCCCACACACACACACACACACACACTCACAGACACTCGTTTGGAGCTGGCTACGCCCTGACAAGTATGTTAGTATGGAATGAATAATTTATGTCCGATAATCTTAGCTTGGATAATGAGAAGAGGTTTTTCCAACATCATTGCCATAATATTGATACATTTTGCTCTACGTTTTCTGTCTAACACCTTTAGGAAAAATTCATTGTCCAAGTCAAAGCCTTGAAACCTCCCTATTTGCAAATTGTTGGGTACCCTTCTGCATGTAATTAATCGTCAGTCCAAATCATAAATAGAGACCTTACGATGTGGGACGGCAGCGTGACGACACGGCTATTCATATAATGAGATTATTAATTTTTAAGAAAAAACTGGAGTTTGAGACGTCGTCCACGTTCTGTTTACAACGGGGAACTACAGACTTTTACGTCTTGGATAAAACGCCTGCATTAGTCAAGACGCGAGAAGTGAATAAGTGATACTCAGCAAATTAGCTCAGTACTACAGTAGAACGATCAATATAATAGTCTATACAAACTTTCTTTACAATCGTTTATTTGAATATTTTATTCTGGCCGTTGTCGTTGCTTTGCCGTCCTACATCGTAAGGTCTCTCATCATTAACTGTATAGAAAGCACTTGTTAAGTTATGTATCATTCATGAATATTTTTTATAGTTCGAGCTTGTTTTAGTAGATTTTTTTATTGAAAACCAGGTGTGACAACGATTTATTACTTTTAAAGTTGCTCTATAATACTATATATACTTGATATTTTCAGTGCTGCGTTTTTTGGTCCGATTTTTCGTCTTTTGATCCATGTGAACAAGTGGATGAGTTAAACCGGTTACAGACGAGCAAGTTTTCATATGACAAGTTTTCATAATGACAAGTTTTCATATGGCAAGTTTTCATATGACAAGTTTTCATATGACAAGTTTTCATATGGCAAGTTTTCATATGACAAGTTTTCATATGACAAGTTTTCATATGGCAAGTTTTCATATGGCAAGTTTTCATATGACAAGTTTTCATATGACAAGTTTTCATATGACAAGTTTTCATATGACAAGTTTTCATATAACAAGTTTTCATATAACAAGTTTTTATATAACAAGTTTTCATATAACAAGTTTTCATATAACAAGTTTTCATATAACAAGTTTTCATATAACAAGTTTTCATATGACAAGTTTTCATATAACAAGTTTTCATATAACAAGTTTCATATAACAAGTTTTCATATGACAAGTTTTCATATGACAAGTTTTCATCTGACAAGTTTTCATATGACAAGTTTTCATGTGACAAGTTTTCATATGGCAAGTTTTCAAAAATATGACAAGTTTTCATATGCAAGTTTTCATATGACAAGTTTTCATATATGACTGAAGTTTTCACATGACAAGTTTTCATATGGCAAGTTTTCATATGACAAGTTTTCATATATGACTGAAGTTTTCACATGACAAGTTTTCATATGACAAGTTTTCATATATGACTGAAGTTTTCACATGACAATTTCCCCTATGGCAAGTTTCATATGACAAGTTTTCGTATGACAAGTTTTCATATGGCAAGTTTTCATATGGCAAGTTTTCATATGGCAAGTTTTCATATGACAAGTTTTCATATGACAAGTTTTCATATGGCAAGTTTTCAAAAATATGACAAGTTTTCATATGCAAGTTTTCATATGACAAGTTTTCATATATGACTGAAGTTTTCACATGACAAGTTTTCATATGTCAAGTTTTCATATGACAAGTTTTCATATATGACTGAAGTTTTCACATGACAAGTTTTCATATGACAAGTTTTCATATATGACTGAAGTTTTCACATGACAAGTTTTCATATGGCAAGTTTTCATATGACAAGTTTTCATATGACAAGTTTTCATATGACAAGTTTTCTTTGTCATTTGCATGTTTGTATATTACGTACAACAAACTTTCTATGACAAGTTTCAGTTGTTTTGTTTTGTTTTAGGCTGACTGACTGGCCGACAGCAATAATTAGTACACTGAACAACTCATGCATGCCATGTATTCTTTGTTGATCCATACAGACGAACAAAATTTGTACTTTGCTAGCATACCAGCTTTTGAACAAGTGTATACTTGCCATAGTAAAAATTGGCAAAGTTGCATGCCTATACGTGCAGACTACGAGCAAATAGAACTTGCCATATGAAAACTTGTCATAGAAAACTTGCTCGTCTGTAACCGGCTTTATGAACGTTTAGACAAGGATACATATCCTCAGAATATTCATAACTCATCTACACTGCAAAAAATCAAATTCTATAGTCTGGAATAATATTCTTTTTTAAATTATTTTTCTTATTTTAAGCAATTATTTCTTATCAAGAAATATTTCAAGAAATAACTGGGCAAGAATATTCGAGAGAATTGTTTTCTTATTTTAATTCAAGAATAACATTTTTCCAATCTAGAATGATGTAATTCTTATAATTAGAAAAAAAAAACTCGTTCACATGCAACATGCATGCAGACAGAAGAGGAAAATAGCACTGGCAATCGCAGAAAAAATTACAGGTGCATGTAAACGGGCCTTTAGATACTCCCACGAAAGGCGATGTTGTATAATAAAGATACAGCATGTCATGTACTCATGTATAAGGTTGTACATGTGCTTTTAAAGACTTTTGCTCATTTATTTTAAGTTAAGTTAAATATAATTAAAATACTTGAATAGCAATTAATGATCCAAGTCCGTGAAGAAACACTAGGAAAATGAAACACGCTATATTATTGTGGTGATCAGGGTGAAGTGAACCAATTATAACATTATATTTATACTTCTAAACTCTGGTCAACCCAAAGACTCATCAAGCATTATGTTTTCATCTCGCAGAGGTATAAGACCCTCTTAGAGAGATTGAATGCAAAGCGGTAGCGACCCCCTAAGACATTAACCTGAACCAAAGAGTTGTGATCCCCTTGGACAGTTCGTACGATTCGTCTGATTATATTTACAATAAATAATCTATAGGCCTGAGATTGACCATTTGGAGCACTTCAATTTTGAAGAATTTGAAAAACTGATTGAAGTTTACATGTGGATTTACATGGGGATTGTTATACAATCACATAAATTTAGTTTCCCGGACAAATTTCCCTTGACAAATTTTGTTGCTCGTGTGCACAGAATGTTGTAGGACAGTTATCTTACGTCAATATATCTTGTACACTTGTCTTAATGTTTTCCATGCATGGCGGCCGTACACCCAATACATTTTTCTTATTAGAGAGGTTAAGATACCCCGCGGTTTCGGTGTACGTGTACAGGTAGCATGATTTTGGTTAGCAATATTTTCGTCGATGTCTGTACCTTTACTCGTAATTAAGGTGCACATTTTTCGCATTATATCATTGTCTATTGCAAGAAAACAGAAAAAGTATGATCGAATTACAGACATCAGTAAAACAAGATGACACTACTCGTACCCGTACACCAAAACCGGGGTATCTCAACCTCTCTATTGTCAATTTTTTCCCGTGCACACGAACAAGTCAAACTTGTCAAGGAACAACTTGCTCGTCTGTACGCGGCTTTCATATACTAAAGTTGTAAATAATACTAAGTTTAAATGCTGTATATAAAATCGGAGTTTTTATATACTATTGGGTTTAAAAGACTCTAAGACACATGCAGATGTATACGTGCACCGAATGGAAGTAAGCTATTTTTAGTTCTACATTTTTATCAGGGAATACTTTGTGGTTTCCTCAATAAGTGTGCGGAGGAAAGAGATTGGATAGCTCCCACTCGATTGGGAGAGATTAGATTTACAAAACGATTTACAGAAAGTTTCCTCTTCTCCCAAAAAAGTGATAAGAGTTTAGATTTATGCCAATTTCCCCCAGAATTTTAAAACCGAATGTTTCTTTTACACATGCAAGTAAATTTGTCAAGGAATCTTGTCCATTGTTTGTCCTACACATACACGAGCAAATAAAACTTGCTCAAGGAATAGCACTGGAACAACACTTTTAATACCCTCAGTCCCTGTTTTGACCTCTTCAGTGAAATATGTTGTCCCCCCCCCCCCCAGGTCCCTTCTGTCTAAAATATAATAAAAAAGGGAAGAATAACTTCTTCGTTAAGAAGAGTGTTTTAGTGTTCCAATGACCAAATCTTTATCTAGCGGAAGAAATATATGTCCCCCTCAGTCCCTGTTTTGGCCTCTTCAGTGAAATATGTTGTCCCCCCTGTCTAAAATATAATAAAAAAGGGAAGAATAACTTCTTCGTTAAGAAGAGTGTTTTAGTATTCCAATGACCAAATCTTTGTCTAGCGGATGAAATATATACAAAATTGTATCTAAGCATGCCGACAATCAAGCCCCAGACACTGAAAAATACAAAACTTTTCTGGAGGAAGACCCCAGACACCCCGACAAGTTCCCACTTCTCCCGTTCACCACCTCCTAGACTAGGTCCTAGTTGGGTCCCTTTTCAGTCTTGATGGCCCCTCCACTGCCGGACAAATTCTCAAAAGAGGCCCTGCGTACAAAGTATATAATTTTGACAAGAGTGTTGGCGCATTCGCGCGAGAATTCCAATAATTCAAAACAAATAAGTAAAATTACAAGATGGCTAATATAATCGTAACAAATTTTTAAAAAAGTGAGTCAGATTTGGCACATGAGTGGATCGACGATTGAATCAGCGTCGCTCAAACGTTGCATAATGCGATACTGGCTCTGCCGAACTTTTGAAAACTGCAAATTGATAGGGATTCAACTACCTGAAAATATATAAAGTATAAAACTTGGATGTTTTAAGGCCGGTGTACACTTGCAATTTTGCTGCGATTTCTAGTGCGAGTTTGTTCTTCTGACGCATGTGAACGAGTGGATGAATTATGAATGTTCAGATGAAGGTACATGTACTCAGATCATTCCTAACTCATCTACTCCTTCACATCCATCAGGAGAAGAAAATCACACTAGAAATCGCATAAAAGCACCTAAAGGGCAAGGGTATTTTCGTGACTCGTGATTAGCAATTATTCGTGCTTCGTGATTTGAACAAATACTATTCCGTGAATCGTTATTAATATGCGTGCCGTGAATCGTGAAGAGCTAAAATGCTAGCTATAGGATCTTGAATTTACCAATATTTTACCCTAATTTGTGAATGTTTACGTTTAAAACTCGGCCCAAATTTGAATATTATGGTAAAAAAATGAATAAATTTGCTTCCCGCGGTTGTCTTTCCTGAGGTTTTATCGTAAACGTCGTTATCGTATACCTTCGTACCTCTTCGTAGACTTTGTGAACCATCGTAAGACGCTCGTAATGTTTCGTAATGTCTCGCAATGATTTCCATAGTCCTTTAAAAGCTCTAATGTTAAAGTCAGTGAAATGTGTTTGTGTTAACATCGATTTCTGCTGTTTAGAAAATCGTTAAATGGTTTCAGACTTTGTTACGCTTCTGTGTTTCTAAAAATCGTGAAAATAGTGAAATTTTGTTTTTCGTGACTCGTGAAATCGAAAAATGATCTTCGTGATTTCGTGACGAGACCCCCCTGCCCCCCCCCCCCTCCCCTTCAAGTGTACACCGGCCTTTACTTGTATTTTTCAGGTAGTTGGAATCCTTATCAATCGGCAGTTTTCTGGTGTACTACCTACGTTTGCACAGAATGTTCGAGTTTATATCTGCCGAGTTTATATTTGCTGCATTCAGCTTCCACGTGTCACCCTTCTGTCGCCTAATTCGTTAAATTAAGTTCAACGCATGATTAGAGCAGCGTCTGAAACGGGCTTATCTCGGGTATTTGTACGTCCTGTTTGTCCAACGTGCATGTAAACCACAAAATAATCGCAAAGTAATCTGTATGATTATGTTCGCTAAGACCTGTCGCGTCTTCTCTCTGTTAATGACAGTATGTTTCATTAGCTAGTAATCTGTTTGCCCAAAGGGTTTGCTCAACGTGTGCGCACGTAATATATGTGAAGTAACTGTTTATCTATTTTAAAAAACGTGCTCCAATACGTAGGAGTGTTCTCTGGGGGAGAGAGCTAGGGATGGGCGTTCAGGATGCGCATGCATATAAACCATCCATTAGTTGGGGTGAGGAGGTTAGGGTGTGGGGTGAGAACCAGGTACCCAAAACAAAAAGGTGCAGCTGTATATGATGCTGTGAAACGTCATGAAGAAACATAAATAATTCATGAAGAAACAAAAGAAATCATGAGTGTGAAGGAGTTTGTATATCTGATACAATATCATGCTGATTTACACGAACTTTAATAATATCCGATACAACACGCGAATGTTGTAAATATAGTACATACAGCTATTTCAATTAAGGTTGTCCCCCGAGCAAAGCGGAAAAGACGAATACGAGCGCGAAAGGCGGCTGGGAATCGCTAATAAATTCATTCATTTATTAGCGATTCCCAGCAGCCTTTCGCGCTCGTTTTCGACTTTTCCGCTTTGCTCGTGGGACAACCTTAATTGAAATAGCTGTATACATCTTTAAAAAAATAAGAGACCATACTTTGAGTGGTTAGTGCACGGCTTTCGACTCTTGAAATATGCAGTTGTCTGTACTCCAGCTGTTCACTCGTTTTAATTAATTCGCCAAACACTTTATGCATGTTTTCTCCAGGTTCCTGTAGTTTGCAGTATCTTTGGGGAGTTTAGAACTGATATAGAGCTGTCCAGCATAAATAAAGTTAGTTTAGGTTTCCTCCTATAGTAACAACTATAGTAACTCAGTTACACCGATAACCGAGGACTCTTAACTAAAGCTGGATTTCTAGGAAGAACAGTTAAGAACTGATAGAGTTATCCAGCATATAAATAAAGTTAGTTTAGTTAAGGTTTCCTCCTGTAGTAATACTGTTCCAATAAGAGATGACTCTTACTGGAGATCTAGGAAGAACAGTTTAGAACTGATAGAGATATATCCAGTATAAATGAAGTTAATTGAGTTAAGGTTTCCTCTTGTAGTAGTAGCTCTAGATCAATAAGAGATGGTTCTTACTGGACTAGATCTGGGAGAAACAGTGTAGAGCTGATAGAGCAGTCCAGTATAAATGAAGTTAGTTTACTGAAGGTCTCCTCCTGCATGTAGTAGCACTAGATCAATAAGAGATGACTCTTACTGGAGATCTAGAAGAAACTGTTTAGAACTGATAGAGCTGTCCACTATAAATGAAGTTAGTTTAGTTAAGGTTTTCTCCTGTTGTAGCAGTAGATCAATAAGAGATTACTCTTACTGGATCTCTAGGAAGAACAGTTTAGAACTGATAGAGCTGTCCAGTATAAATGAAGTTAGTTTAGTTAAGGTTTCCTCCTGTCGTAGCACTAGATCAATAAGAGATTACTCTTACTGGATCTCTAGGAAGAACAGTTTAGAACTGATAGAGCTGTCCAGTATAAATGAAGTTAGTTTAGTTGAGGTTTCCTCCTCCTGTCGTAGCACTAGATCAATAAGAGATTACTCACTTACTGGATCTCTCAGTATAAATTAAGTTAGTTTAGTTAAGGTTTCCTCCTGTCGTAGCAGTAGATCAATAAGAGATTACTCTTACTGGATCTCTAGGAAGAACAGTTTAGAACTGATAGAGCTGTCCAGTATAAATGAAGTTAGTTTAGTCGAGGTTTCCTCCTGTCGTAGCAGTAGATCAATAAGAGATTACTCTTACTGGATCTCTAGGAAGACCAGTTTAAAACTGGTAGAGCTATCCAGTATACAGAAAACTCTAATCTTAACTAAACTAACTTCATTTTAAACGAAATTAGTTATAAGGTTAGAGTTTTCTACTCAATATCTAGGGAGAACAGCCGTTTAGAAATGATAATTCTATCCATATAAGTAGCTAAGGTTGACTAAAACTTCAGATTGATATAGGGATGCAACTACCTGAAAAGTACAAGGCGAACTTCGATGTTTCGAGCGAAGGCCCTTCACTAACATCCCGACGAAGGTCCGAAGTTCTCGAAATGTCGAAGTTCTCCTTGTATTTTTCAAGCCTGCAACTGCATCAATACGAGTTTTCTTATTATTAGCACAGATCGTAAAAAAAGATTACTTAGTAATTCGATTTATGTTCATTCCTGTATTAACAGTAGAGCTATGATTGATGGTTGAAGAGGATTTGGCACTACATTTGCGGTTATGTGACACTTGGCCAGCCTGTAACAATCTTGATAAAAAAAAAACAAGCTTGAAGTAATACTAGTTCAAGTCCGCGCAATTTGATCAAGTCCAAGGCGAAGCCGAGGACTGGATCAAAATGTGAGGACTTGAAATCTAGTCCAGTCCGAATTGAAGGATTTGAAATGACATCTCATACGAATAAATCGCTACTTAGAGATGATGTCCACTCCTGTGCACATGCGCGAACTTTGTTTACGTTTGAACTGCTATATTTGTAAAATATGATATACTAACTGAATATCTAACACTTTTCTGGTTCGCTACACTTGTAAATGAACATAAACTGTACATTTCAACTTTCAATTCAAAAAAGTTCGAAAGATGCAAAATTTGGGCAATGTTTATATGCGGGGGTCCCCCTTTGTTATGAGCAGAACTGATGCGCAGAACGGAGTGGACATCACCTTTAAAGTGAGGAGAATTAATTTTGATCCAATCCTAGGACTGGATCAATATACTTCACCAGGTATCCAGTATTATCATGTGAGCAAAATAAAGCAATATGGTTGGCTAATTTACTCATGAATTATTAATGATTTGAGGTCAATATTTTGCTGCCCATATTGTTCCTGCATGGTTGTTAACAATATTGTTCAGCATTGTACCAGGAACAATGTGGGCAACAAAATATTGTTCAGGCCTGTTTTCAAGTGTAGACTATGTGGAACACAGCTATCATATACCTGGACGGTCGCCCACCCAACATTACAAAAGCAAACATCCCGTGATGATGTAACAAAATTAAACACGTGTATACTGCAACTGTTTCTTGCGTGGGAGAAACAGCTAAGCAACGCCGTGATTGACAAAAATTATATTTTATCTTCTATCGAAAATACAAAATATAAACTATGATAAAAATGTATCAAAAATCCTTGCACGAAAGAGCGAACCAGTGCAGTCGAAAAATTTGAAGTAATCACAGAACAGAAAACAAAAACCAAGAAGTAAAAAATCTGGAAAACCTAAGATTTATACAATGAATTATAACCATTTAAACCGTTTTTAGTCCATATATACCTATATACAATTTCCTTGATATCTTACTGAGATTTCAGTTTTTGTTTGATATTTTAGTCTCAGTTGGGCACACGTGTATTTAAGTAACGAGATAAGATAATCATGCATGTACGTAACGTTAATTAAAAAAACCTGTTTGAACGCCCACTAATTAGTTTTCACATAATTTCTTTCTGCTGCATGTGTAGGTATATAAGGCTGGCCTGTCCGATGCACGTAAAGAATACATCTTCAACCGTCGGTACGTTCGTGCAGAGAAGTGCTATATATAGTATTGAATTTGAATTTCATAAGGCGTAATAGAAGCTTTTGTTTGTGGTAAGAAAATAATAAATTATATTAGTTACTGTAGGTAATCACACAGGAATGAGTGCAATTAATGATTAACACTACGGTCGAGAACGGTCGAGTGATATTTGAAAAATGTGCCAAAATTGCACGAGCCGCCGAGGCGAGTGCAATTTGGCACATTTTTCAAATATTACGAGTAGTGTTAATCATTAATTTCAGGAATCAGGACTTGCCCGTGTGATCATTTATTTACTATATGCTTGGCAAGATCGCTTTCTTTATAAAAATTCAACTGCATTTTGTCAAGAGTTTTTAATTCTTTTGTAAGCAATATGGCCAGTAAACAAAACTTGGGAAATGATCATAAATTCATAAAGGCACATAACTTAAACTAGAACACATGATTCAAACTCAAACAACATAGAGTAAAAAAATAGGGCATGTAGTAAAACACTGACTACCGGAACACCACCGGAACACCACCATTTTGTTTGGGGTTAGGGTTTGGGGTTAGGGTTAGGATTGGGGGTTAGGGTTGGGGTTAGGGTTAGGATTGGGGTTAGGGTTGGGGTTAGGGTTAGGTGGTGTTCCGGCGGTGTTCCGGCGGTGTTCCGGTGTTCCGGTAGTCAGTGTTTTACTACATGCCAAAAAATAGAATTAGAGTGAAATCTTTATAAATTGTATTGCAGACTTACATAGTCACGTTTCGCTGCATCTCACTGAGATTATTTCTTAAAACTATTTCCATGCCATATTATGTTTATTAAACTGATTCTTGTGCCAAAATTTAGTTAAATTCGTCCACGTTTGTTATTATTTCAAGAAACATTTCGCCGCCATATTGGATTTTTGTTATTTTGATTTCCCGCTCCCCCCCCCCCCCCCCCCCCCCCCCCC